AGAAGTAAAACTTAACTAAAACGATATAACCGAAAGTAGTTGGCCCCTAGATATTAAATAAGCTGGCGGAGCTATCAAAAGCCTGAAATACGGCCGAGCATAGTAATAGCTTAGACAGAGAGTAGCCAAAAGGCGAACACTCGCTAGTCAGAAACTCTGGCTCTCTGACGAAGTCAGTGGAACTTCGACTAAAATACCACTGTGATGTAGCCGTTCCTCAATAGACACTAATGCCTGCTATCTTTAAAAGGATTTATTAACAGAGCACACAGGAACGGTTACAAACAAAAGAAATATACATAAAAATGAAACATATACCAAATGGAACATCAAACAGTTGAATAACAGAGACATAGTAAACTAACATCATGGCGGCTGGAGTTCGACTGACGTTTTTTCATATCGCCACGAGATGGCGTTTAAATAAAATAGTTCGGTTACAGTTCATGAGTTCATGGCATGAATAAAATACTATACAAATTCAATTACACTTAAATAGGTCTGTTACAGCCGTTCCTCAATAGACACTAATGCCGGCTAGCTTTAAAAGGATTTATTAACATCAAGGAACAGTTACAAACAAAAGAAATATATATAAAAATGAAACATAAACGAAATGGAACATCAAACATTTGAATAACATAACATAGTAAACTATCATCATGGCGGCTGGAGGTCGACTGACGTTTTTTCATATCGCCACGAGATGGCGTTTAAATAAAATAGTTCGGTTACAGTTCATGAGTTCATGGCGTGAATAAAATAGTTCAATTACCCTTAAATAGGTCTTTGTTTTTACATCCTCCCCCTCTGACTTCGTAGACGTCTCGGCAAGAAGTCAGGAACTGACCTTTGTCTACTTTGTGCAGCGGGCGGAGAATCAGAATCAGATGAATGGGCTCCAGTTTGACAAGCAGGAAATTTAGCGTCACCAGCACCTTGTGCAACAGGTGCAGATTCGGGCGGTGGTATTACACGTTTCGGGCGTCCTCTTTTCTTTAAGGGAACCACTGGAATTACACGAGCTGAGTTTTGAAACTTCTTTCGATCTTGATATGGATTCAAGGCTGAAACATGATACTTGCCGAGAATTTTGTCTGGTTCATGAGGATCGGCAATATCATAAGTGGTTGGAGATCTTGTAGTCACTATCACATAAGGACCATCTCTCTTTGGGCATGAATTTAGCAGTTTTCTTCAGTGGACCTTTGCTGATTGGGTGGAGGGTGACCCAAACTTTATCTCCAGGAACGAATTTCGGTGTTTCTCTTCGTTTTTTGTCAGCATATCGTTTTTCTGCTTATCTTGATGCATTTCGACTCTTTCTCGTACCTGTTGTACATTTCTTGCAAAACGTTTCAAAATATGGAGTAATTTCGGGAACAAAATTATCGTTCTCAATTACGGCTTTTATTTTATATAGCATTAGTTAGAATTACAGCTTTTACATCATCTAAGGTTTACGTCATAACTCTCGTGCAAATTGAAGAAAAGCAGCAGAATGTCCAGTTGAATCACATTTGGCTGTATTCAAAGCAAACCTTATTAATGGCAGTTTATCCTTCCATGACTGATGGTCGTTACCAACAAGTATTGCTAAACGTGGTTTCAGATCTCTATTCTTCCTTCCAACTGGGTTAGATTGTGGGTGATAGACAGGAGTAAGACTTTGATCAATGTTCAAGATATAGCATAGTTGTTGCATAACAGCACTAGTAAACTGGGTACCATTATCACTTATTATTTTCCTGGGTAACCCAAATCGAAGAGTGGCTCCATGGTCTCGATGTTACAGACTTTGAATCACTCAAAGACTTGGTCCTGACGGATCAGCTTAAAAGAAGAGTCAGTACTGACGTTAAGGAGCATTTTATTGATACTTGGGGGAAAATAAAGAGTTCATCTAAATTAGTACAGAAATTGGATGATTATGAAGCTGTACGTGTTAAAAATACAAACTATAAAACTGAACTTCCTGGCAGGCGGAACTATTCTTACAAATCGACTAATCCATCCAAACACAAAGTAGAAAATCGAACAAGTGACATCAGGGAACTCATAAAACCTTTTTAAAATTGTGGTCAGCAAACAAACAGAGGAAAAGCGACCCTCCTTTAACATGCTATGGGTGCGGAAAAATGGTTTTATTAAGTCTAAATGTCCAGATTGTAACCCCCCAAAGTCTTCAAGTTCATCAAATTTTGGCACTATCCAATCCGATCCTGTTTATCTTCCACTCGGACTGCTGTATTTCCAATTAGTATTGGTGGTGTTTCCGGTACAGCTTTGCCGCACTGGTGCTAGTCACTCAATTGCAAGTGAATCCCTCTAATCATATTCTGGCAGAAACAAGATGCAGTATTTGAAAAGACAAAACTACAGGTGTCTTTCGCTGATGGTTGGTATCTGAAAAAGAGGTACTTCGCACCGAACAAATCATTCTTCTCGAAGGCAGAGAGTTCAAAACTCCGCTCCTTGTGTTGCCTGATGCCAAAAATAACGACTTGTTAGGAACTGACTTCTTCAAAAAGCTAAAATTGTTTTAAATCTTGCTGAAAATAAGTGGAACTTTTCTGATGAACTTCGAAGAAAATATAGCTTCGTGAAACCTCATCAATCCCAAGTACTGGAAGAAACCCCAGTTGTTGTAAACAACTGCCGACTACGAGAAAATGAAGGACAGCAATTAACTACAGCTCAACGGCTTGCAACTGATGCATTGCTTAACAAATATCACACTGTCTTCAAATTAGGGGGAGAAACCACTAATCAAAAGCCATCTGGCTTACTTCAAATTCCAGTCTTCTTAGAAATAAAGAGTAATTAACCCTTCTTGAGTTCTTCAACTCAAGAAGGGTTAATTACTCTTTATTTCTCAAAAGAAGAGTTAAACAGTCGGTCCCTTTCTCAGGGCGTACAGCAAAGCCTCCACTTGGGCTTGAACTCAAGGTAATAAGAAATAAGAACTATTGCTTAACTAAAAAGATACAGCCGAAGCTATCAAAATTCTATTTAATCAAAAAGCTATTTAATTTCTAAGTATTTAATCCCTAAGTATCGAATAAGCTGGCGGAGCTATCAAAAGGGCCTGAAATACGGTCGAGCGTAGTAATAGCTTAGAGAGAGACTTACTCAAAAGGCCGCGCGATAGTGAGAAGCTCTGCTCTGACCGAAGTCAGTGGAACTTCGACTCAAATATTACTCTTACTCAATATGCATTAACCGCGATTCTAAAAACGCATTCTGGTAGGAAATTGTAAGCTGAAATTAGCAGGGACAGGAAAGTAGCTTTAACTAAAGATAACTGTAGAAAACTTAGATAAACCTTACAACTGTTAGCAACTTAACATTAGTTATCGCATCCTGGAAGGTATCTGAGTACCATCAACAGGACCATCGAACGCTGCCATTAGAACTTAAAGATATGTTAAAGTGCGCTGAAACTTCATATATAACTAAACTGCAATCCAGTAAATCTATGTAAATACTTTATAATGAATAAAATTCATTTAAATTTTAAGTGGACTTATTCTATCGTGTTCAACTGAGTTTTATGAAAACCAGAAGAGACAACAGGAAAAAATATGAAAAACTTTTGAAAGTTCGTGTTAAAGGAAAGTATAAAATGATGCAACAGAATAAAAATAGTTCGTAATTCATAATTTGCGTGCTAACGGAAATTCTGGTTAACCGATAAAATTTCCTATAATATCATGTGCATCGTTCCAGGTGCCGAAATTTTGTTCATGTTATCCAAGTGTTCCCCTTCAGGGAGTTCGTGTTAAGGAAGGTTTACTCTAAAACATTATTTTTATCTGTGTGATTTTTTATTTACTCCTCTTTTCGAAAATGTATTTTGATATTGTGTAGTATATTTACCAGCAGTTTCTGGTCTCGTAAAAATCACTTTCCTTTCTAATTTGAGAAATAAAATGTACAATGTAAATACGATACAATTCCCTTTAGGCAGATAGTCTAGTATGTTTTTACTCATAATCAGAGCAATCCAGTCCAGTCCAGTCCAGTACCTATTACTAAAAACATCCGATCAGATTATCACTAGTTCCAGGAGGAAACGGAAGTTGCTTATTCAGATAATTAATGATTCGATGTTTGTTGATAAAATTCTCTTTATTAATTCTATAGCTGGCTTTGTGAAATTATTAACTAATAGCATCTACGGGACATATATGCTCAAATGTGTCAATGAGAATAAATTAAAATGAACCTTTTTATTTATTGCACTCTTCTTAGCGAAAGCCATATCAAATGCTAAAATTAAATGTTAAACAAAATGAGGCGGTTTCTATCAAATTTCATATCTTATTTTGCGAAATTTTATAAGCACGTATCTAGAATCAATATTTAATAAATAGTTTCTAGTCACTTTTTTAAAGCTTGTATAATCTAAAATTTTCATAATAATAATCAATACAAATAATTTTGGAATATTAAACGCGGTAGCTGTCTTTGCACTGTAGTATGTTTACATGATGACAACTTTGATCGCAATGATTACCGTATTTTTTAATGCTTGTATATTTTATATCATTCATTTTAAATTTTTATGTGTGTTTATTAGTTCTTTCAATGAAATCCCTTTTCCTTTTACGTTCACGAATTATGAGGTATAAAAAACTTGACAATCGATAATTTATTGTAATTATATTCTAATTATCTTAGCTTTTTTAATTAAATTCATTTATTTCAGTCTGTCAAAGAGGTGTTTAGATTAAAATCACTTGTATAATAAAATACACGAAAAAGAGACATAAATCAAATTATCATTTTCTGAAGATTTTTCTTGGATGTGCAATTATTTAATTTTTAATTTCGGGCATAACTCTTCTCATTACAATAAGATATCTAATGAGTTCTATGTTTCTATACAAAATTAATAATGACTCCGAAAGAAATTGCGAATTCATTTTTCAGGAAGAATGGAACAGGTAGAAGAAGCGCAGAGTTCGAATTTTTTTTCTTCTTCTCCCTTACTACCAATGCTTCTTTTCTCGTTAGCTACGCAAAAGCACTCGCCAACTACAAAAGAAAACTTTAATGAAGAATACGACTACATTGTGGGTATGTCCTGTAACTTATTCTCTAATATTTATTGTTATGAGTTCATGCAATCAGAGCATTTTTAAATGCTATAAACTAAAATTGAGAGAAAATGTCTATTGTGTCATGTTTAATTTCCAAACTTTCAGTTACCACGATGAACACAGTTGCAAACCACTTAGCCATAGGTTGCATTAACGCAAAATATGAAACCAAAAAACATAATTTCGTTGCAAATGTTTGGGGATATTTAACGATTATAGCCGGAATAGGAGAAAGAACAGAAAATCTAAAACACGTTAAATGTTTTCTATCAGGAAAAGGCACGTGATTCTTACTCAAAATGGATATTTACCCTTCATTGTTTGCATCACTTCGGCCATAATGCTAGAGGTACTTTTATTCATGCAACCGTATTTTCTCGCTGAAAAATTAAACTCCATTGCCTTTGGAAAACATTTAACTGCTCAGTTGATTCAGTTCTGACGTAAAAAGCCCAAAAACATACTTTAGTTTAAAATTTGATAAAATAACTTTCATTCTTTACAAATAAATTAATTAAGCACTTGATAAATATCTCTAAGGTTAAAATATACGGAATTATTGCATTTCACTGAGCGTTTGCTCAAAGCGTAAGCAGTAGCACGTTCGGAAGTAACGGAAAGATCAGTGTTTCGATTTCCAGTGAAGGCGCAGTTAATTTTTCACATTTCTTTCTCTGAAAAAGTGTAGTTGTTGCTAAACCAAATAATCAGATACTTGCATCATTTAATGCGTTTTTCTGGAATGGTCATACCCAAAAGTCGTTTAGCCATGTCATCACCAACAGCGTTACCCAGTGCGCACAATAGGCAGTGACAGAATTACACCCGAGAGGAAGCTTCATCCCAGTTTCGATGGAGAATACCTATAGAAGATGGATCCGAAGGACTCTTATCGTCATCTTGACTAGAGAGCTTTCAGTCTGATTGTATTTTAAATCCCACCCCATGCCGCAAAGACGCAATACGCTTACAAACACCCATGCTTTTTCCAGGAATAGAATTCAAGTCCAAGACTGTAACAGACAATTCCTCTACCACCTCAACACAGCGGCAACTCTAAACATGTTAATGTCACTATAATGCAACCCGAATTGAAATGCAGTGGACTATAATTCATCACCATCTATATTTGACCGACTACGTTCCGTGCCTTTCTTTAATTGTCCTCCTCTTATTGAAAGATTAGTGATAATACGGCATCTAGCAGTTGGAAAATCTGTGCTTTGAATCTCAGCGAGGTCATAGTTAATTTATCCCATTTCCTACTTCCCTTAAAAAAATAAAAAGTAGCCTTTTTACACAGTGCAACAAATCTAATACTTACTTAATACTCACATTCCATGCTTCATTAAACAATAAAATTACATAATTTTCTTGAAAAATTTAAATCAGCTCTTAAACGCTTATCCCTCTGCCCTTGATATTTCACACTTTTCTACTTGTGACATAAGCTTTCAGAAAATATATGAGTTTCCGGGAAACCGGTATCAGAGGAGAGAAGGTTTACTTGTAAGATCAAAACAATACAAGAAGTAAATCTATAAAAGTTTTCCAAATGGCGAGCCCTAAGCCGACTTCTACTTGGCCACAACTAAGACCAGAAGTGATGGTCACTTTATTATGAAGCCACTTAACAGGCGGGATACTTTTGCCTCCTATAAAGGGATGGACAGTTACAACCATGCCTTAAAAAAGGATTTAGCCTTTTAATGCATTATAAATATTTTGGATGAACTGTTAAGAACATATTGTTAAATTAATCTTGCATTACTTTTTATCTCTAAAAGTAGGCGCAGGCGCTGCAGGTTCCGCCGTAGCCAGCCGCTTGTCTGAGATTCCTTGTGTAACTGTTCTACTTTTAGAAGCCGGAAAACCTCCACATTTGTTAACCGAAGTTCCAGCCGCAGCTAGAGGGTTTATTTTCAGTGACATTGATTGGAATTACAGGACTACCCCACAAAGATATACAGCGGCTTCTCTCATCAATAAAGTTGAGTACCTTTTCAAATAAATGAAAACTGCTTAACATTACATCATTTTAAAAAAACTCTAAGAAAATTTAATTTTTTCTCTCTGTATACTGCGTTATAATATTCGTATAAGTACGACTACGTTTTAAATTTTATAAATTCCGAAGTCCTCGCAAATTCTACATAAAAAGGAAGTATTTAGTTGATAAATATTATATTATACTATTATTTTAAAAACCCATATATAAATCATAAATTTATTCATAAAATACCAACAAATTAATTTTTGCTTTTAATGCTTAATAATATTTTTTGTGCATAAAGAAAAAAAAGAAAACAACAAATGCAGAATTGTACCAATTATATATTCTACGAATTAATAACTTCTTTATTTAAGGTATTTGTATTGGTATTATAATAGAAAACTTTATTGCTAAAACGCATTCACGTTTTATTATTCTCATTATAAAAAGAAAGAATTACCAGTCGTGTAAAATGTCTAAAGTCAAAAGACACAGTATTAACAGAACTCCCGTTTCCATTGTTGACACTTACTTATCTTTCAATGTCTGTCGACTTCAATATCGCTGACACTTTTTATCTTTTTATATTTCGTCAATTACTGTTTTTCTAAAAACCATTTCCCTTTTAAATGTTTTCTTAGTGTTCCCATTTACCACTTTCTGAACTTTCTCTTGGCCGTGCTTGAAAGCCAGGTTACAGCTAGAGGATATAAGGATTTCTGCATATGTGACGGAGGGGAACACTTCATCTGCGCAGAAATAAATAATTAAGTATACCTAAAAAATGAGCTGCTAATGAGCTTAAATATGCACCTTTTTGCTCAGGTCTTCTGTTAAATACTCGTACTCCAATATTTTAAAATGTTACACTTGTTTTTTGTATAAGCTTAATTTTGAATGTTTCTACAGTTTCTCTTTTTTTTAATAAATGTATTCGTATGCCTGACCCATTTCATCTACTGCATTGAATTGTTTCAGAGGTAAGCAGCAAACATTTTTTTGGAAAGAGGTTTTATGGGTCAAAAAGGAACTTCAATGAAGAAAAAAATATTTATTATATAAATTTAATTTTACAAAAACTATTTCTAACAAGGTCTGTTTTCGATTGCTATTGATGATAGCAATGAACTCCAGGTCAGTTCACGTTGTTTTCAGACCAAGGAGTTCGACATTTGCAGCTTATTTCGATATTCGGATTTTAATTCCTACCACTGCCGAAAATCCAACTTCATAAATGTATGAAGATGCCATAAGGTAGTAATAGCTTCAGAGTTTAAATAGAAGGAATTAGATAAGTTTGTTAGACAAATAAACCAGAATCATTTCAATTTACTACAGTTAAAATTCAGTTTCAGGAATGTATTTTCTGATAGGTCAGTAAGATCATCAGCGTTCGATGATGCCAGTAGTAATGTTGCCCTGGAAGGGATGCGCAATCCAATTTTTCTCTTCAGTTTTTCATTTCTTCAGTAACGTAAATTTCAAATTTTCTTTCACAGCACTCAAATGCCTTCAGATCTTGGTAATTTCGCTGTCAGAAACGTTCGTATTATTTTCGAATACAAACGTTTGAAATGTATTAGAAGTCTGACATTTGTGGTTCTTCAGTGTTGTTTTTCCATAACAGTATTTTTGATGAAGCCTTGAATTCTGTTATGCACTGCAAATACAGAACGTGTATCAATTTTTAGAAAGATTTCGGTAAAGAATTAAAAAAATAGCAAATACCTCAGAACAAAAATTTATGGAAACAGCTTATTATTTAAAATAAGAAATATCGTCTTTTACTTTTAAATCCTCTTTCAAAATGTCACATCTAAACAAGCTTTGGGTTGAAGGATATGTTTTAGCGCATTCTGAAGCGAAATATTCCTATTCCAAAATTCAAAAACGTTGTGAAATGCATGGTATTAAAATTTCAAGTAATTTCAAGTGCAAGTACACCCGAAAAAGTATGTACAGATACAGGTAGCCCTCCTACAATACGGAATCCTATAACACAGTTTTGCTCTAACACGATAAGAAATTCCCCAAGAAATGTCAAGAACTTTAACGAACTCCCCATAAGGTTTTTCCATATTGAGCAAAGCACCTACATAGTCATTTAATACATAATAATCCTTGTTTAGTAAGCCCTGCCAGTTGTCTTCAAAGATCTGGTTTCCGTAAGAACTAATGTCCTCCAGGGAGACGAGCCATGTGGAACAGAGCGATAGTTGAATTCTTACCCAGTAACGGAGGAAAATCGTTTCCCTCCTTCAAAGTATAGCACAGCAGAAAAAAAACACTCTCAAGAAAACATAGTCTCCAGATAACAATGAAGAAAACTCCCTCCTTCAAAGTATAGCACAGCAGAAAAAAAACACTCTCAAGAAAACATAGTCTCCAGATAACAATGAAGAAAACTCACTATCGCTGAAGCTGAACAACATAAGGTCACAATAAGAGCTCCAAAACGCACAACATACACGTTCGGCTTCCAACTTTCGAATCCTCACTTCCGTGGCCTAAAGCAAAATTGTCTCACACTGCTGCTTGGCAGTCTTCGTCGAGCCACGGTGTGTTAAAGAATAACTTTTTCGTCTTTAAGACATTAAGTTTCAGTCCCAAGCCATGTCCGATAAAGATAAAAACAAAGTTTAAGAAGAAATGTTTTTCTTCAGAAGAGCCGCAGACGGTCTAGTGGTTAGGCGAGTCTGACTGCGATACAAAGAGCCCGGGTTCGAATCACGGACAAGGCATTGGATGTAAAACTGTCTGTCTCTTCATAGGAGGTAACGATGGCTGCCTATTAGGTGCCTCCACACTAAAATGATCACCTGCTTTTAAGAGAAGAGCACATTGCAAAAAGTCTTAATTTGAATGAAGCAACAGTCCGGAATATTCAGAAATATGAAAAAGAAATAAGAAGTGCAGTTGCTGCAGGATCTTAGACATCCGCAAAAAATGCAGCTGGCCCCCCGGGGCCAATAATTCAGAAGATGGAAAAGGCACTCAGCTTTCAGACTAATGATAGCTGTGAAGAAAAGAATTCCATTGGATAGTAATATAATTAAACAAAAACACTCAAAATTTACTAATACCTTTAAAGAACATAGAGAATCCTCTGTCAACCCAAATTCTGTGGCAAATAAAGGTTTATTCGAAAATTTCAAAAAGCTTTTTAAAATTATTCATAGCATAAGAATTTAAGCAGAATCTGCGTCGGCGTATCAAGAAATTGCTCGGACGCATCCAGAAAAATTCAAAACATTATAGAAAAGCAAGATCACACACTAGATCAAGTTTTCAATCCCGACAAAGGTGGGCTTTAGTGGAAGTTTTGTTTGCTCAAAAGTTTTGTTTTTGACATTTTCGAAACTTTCAGCTTGCTTTTTAATAAATTCGACAGACTGATTTTTTTTAAATCGCGATGTTTTTTCTCAGTGTGCCGACGTAATTTACGTGGGCACATGCATTTGTTTGCAAGTATTTCATTGGAAATTACACACTCAGGTTTGGGATTATCTTCATTTTCATTCCGAAAAAAACCTAATGCTGAATGGCTAGAAATCGTACTTTTCTTCGTTTCGATGTCCTTGAATTGGAGTTTGAAGATTCGCTTTGGTCTGCAGGCGTCGTCCTATTTAGCATAATAGAGATGCGCTAAAATAGAGGAGAAAATAATATGAACTATACGAGTAACACAAATGATAATGAACCGCTTAGAAGTTCATGTGCACTCAAACTGGACTGAATTTCCACAGCAAAAAGATTGATACCGATTTCGTAGCGATTTCTGATTAAGTGGGTGGGGTCTGGAAGTATTACATGGAAACGTTACCTTAACCAAACCCGCAGACTCAGAGTGGAGCAACAGGCGACGAGACTATAAAGCGTGTGTAAAATGTGACATGTATAGCGAGTTTATATACACATCATCTGCATGTTGAAAAGACATTTGATGGTTTCTTCATTTCTTATCATTCGACACGAGTAGCTTCCCTAATTTTCCCCATAATATAAAATTATTATTCAATTGTAAAATTTCAATTAATTAATGCATAATTTAAATTATTTTATATCTACTATATTTGTATCACTAGGTATTTTCTCCCTCCTTTCCGCATGTCTTCGTCGTGTAATTAGAAGCATATTCGACTCGTAGACGAGAGGTCCAGGGTTCGAGTTTCAGCCAAGACACTGCACATTTTTCACGTCTCCGGCATTAGAAATCCTAATGACTTTACTATTATTAGAATTGTATTTACTTATACATGAGTATTTGATTTTAAAATGGAATTATGATAAAAATTTTAAAACAATTTTGAAAATAATCTATTCCAGCTTCTCTTAAATGGTCCTCCTGGAATTGCAAAAATGTCCTGCTATTTGTAAACAAAATTAACAAGATTTTACATCACTTCTTACTGATTAAGTACACTGGGACATCTTCGAGATATATTCTCAAATCTGAATGCATTAAATCTCTGTCTACAAGGTAATTCTTTGACCATAAGACCATTCAATGTCTTTGACGATTCATGTCCTTGAGAAATTAAAAAGATTTGAGAGAAAATTTGGTTCTGGGGTTAGTTGTGTAAAACGGATAAATATTTCACTATTTACAGACTCTACACTATTTACACCATTTACAAAATCTTTACTAGTAGAAAATTATAGTGTTATTGGAAAAGCATTACACAGTGGCATATGTTCACATTTCACAACTCTGGGATTACAATTAGATAGTTATTTTCCAATTATTTCATATATATACTATTTATTATAAGTGGTGAATGTAAGGAATTTTGATGGATTCTTAATCTTTTCCATTGATATTTTGAAAATAACAAACTATTATTGAATGAAAAAAAAAGTTAATAGGATTCTCTGATGACACCGAACTTAAAATGAAAGTCCAAGCAGAAGGTATGGTAAGTTTCGAGACCTCATCACAAGTGAAAATGGAGTATAGTGAACTGCACAATGGTGCTTTATAATAATCGTTCAGTTTGCTTCTATGCATTTGTGTAAAAAAGGGTTTTCATCACCAACTCAAATAAAAACAAAGAACCAAAACAAACTTAATATATGTGGCGATCCCTCAGATTATAGTCTTAATCTTACCAGAATACATCCAACCATAGAACAGTGTGCAAGAATCGGTAAGTTTATCCCTCTCATTAATATGAGTACTAAAATGTGTTTAATTTTTTTTTATTTAATAACATTTACAAGCTGTAATAGCCTTAAGTTATTAAAAACAAATATAAATTTTCTTCTATTAGCTTAATTGTTCAATTCAGACTTAAAATTAAATAATATCCGAACTCTAATTATAAGGTATTTTCTCCCTCTTTTCTGCATGCCTTCGTGCTGTAACGGCAGCACACTCGACGCGTATTCAAGAGGTCTAGGTTCGAATCCCGGCGAGTGCACTGCACAATTTTCACGTCCCCTGTATCAAAAAAAAAATTTATGACTCTACATAATAGCCTTGAGTTATTAAAAGCAGATATAATTTTTTTCTATTAGCTTAATTGTTTAATACGAACATAAAATTAAATGAATTTTATTTAACTGTATCTTAAAAATGTAAGTGTACTAGTTAATATAAGTATAGTGGTATTATATAATGTATATAATGCTTACAAATGTAAATATGTATGGTTACAAAAACTGATTTTAAAGTGTACAAAAGTAACATATTCCGCGGAGTCTACTTTACAAAAGTAGTTTCTGCTTGAAAAATGTTTGAGAAATGCTGATCTATTCAGTTTTGTGAGAAATGGAACAAGGAAACTGAAAGTATTGCTATATTTCTATATACTGCAACGTTAATAAATCTTCTCTGAGCTACAACGTTAACTGCATAAACTTATTGTAGTTTTATAGAGTTCACTTTTCGTTTCATAATATAATCGATTTATAAAATCATTCGAAGCCAGTTTACTTTCCTTGGATAATATTAATGTCAGCCACACCAGGCAATCCAAGCTGTTTATCCATATGACTAAAGCCATACTGAATGCCATTTGCATATCGTATGCTACTACTGTCTTTTCAGTAGTCTTAAAATTGTTACCTAGGCTGAAGGATATATCAACGATTCTCTTATTTAGAATTTGGATTCCAACAACCAGCACACAAAGTCGGGAAAAAAAGAGGTCTTTTTTGTGGATAAAAAGTTTCAATTCTTGGCTTAATAAACCATGTGAACACTCTCTGGACTAGAACTTAGTTGAAATTCTGCGTACTAACACTCCAAACTTGTCATCTGGTAAAAACTTTTAAGACAAATAAAAAATACGTACATAACATTTCCAAATTTTTAGCTTTCGTCAGTAGCAGCATCAGAAGGATATAATACTTTTCCTCATTGCATTCTTCTGCCATTTCTATCCCAGTCTTTCATTGCTTTTGTACTTTTCTCTCTCTCTCTCAGTTCTAGAATTTAACTTGGTGAGACTCGTGGTTTACACGTTTTGTTTCCCTTGAGCCAGGATTTATCCTTCAGATGGGCTTTCCAGCTACCTTTCAGGTTTCCTCGTTCATCCCTTTCTGGGCTTCTTGAGGTTCCTAATTTCGAATAGTGGACTTCTATGATTCCTCTCTTTCCATGGTGTATATGTATATATATACATATATATATATATACATATATATATATATACATATACACCATGGAAACACTGATGCATACAACAGCAAGTTGTATGCATCAGTGTTTTGTTTGATCAAATATATATATATATTTGATCAAACAAAACACTGATGCATTCGACGGCACGAAATCTAGTTGTGCTAAGTCAGTGTATTTACTTGCGTATACTTAATAAATTGTTCTTTCAAATACTTCTTTATTCAACAGTTTTGCCACAATTAGCCTTAATGTCTCTACTTTTACAAAATAAAAGTTCATTTTTATTTCTTAAAGTATTACATTATCTCGAGGTTTCACTAATCAGTGATTAAAATGTTTTATTCAGAAAAGAAGCAATATGATTATTAACAGATATAAAAGACTATTACTTTAAATATATGAACTTCATATTATATTTTTCACAACAGCAAGTTGTATGGCCCAGCGGCAAAACACTTGGAGGCTCTAGTACAATTAACGCATTACTCAGCGTTCGTGGAAACAGAAAGAATTATGATGAATGGGCAGCTCAAGGAGCTTCTGGGTGGAGTTATGAGGAAGTTTTACCTTACTTCAAGAAACTCGAAGATAACGTTGATCTGGAGTATGTGTGGAATGGTAAATATGATTACATCACTTTTAAATGCTTCCTACATTCCCATGCCTTTTGAAACTGCACTGAATAATTTAGTCCTTTAAAAGAACAAAGTTCTCAGATACCAATCCATTTAAAGATATTCTTTTGTCCTTTTTTTCTTCGTCGAATTATATATATGTCCTTTTTTTCTTCGAATTTCACTATTATATGCGTATTTTAAGTTTTAACTTTTCCGTCGTCAAAAATGCTATTTGATTATCTTACTCGTTTTATTATTAATGGCACAGAAATGAAGCCTAAGCTTTCTCGAATACTTAAGATACAATAACACGCCGAACAAATGTTAATTTAGAAGTCAAACAACAAAACTTCAGCGCTTATATTTTCAAATTTTCACAGGACTAGTTTCGATGGTTTTACCGAACCAGCATCCTTAGCTGCAAAAGCGTAAACATAATACTTCAAATGTTAAATCATTCTAATCCTCCATTTAAGATTAATAAGAACAGGAGCAAAAAATATGTACTTAATGTTAAATTTCTTAATTAAAATAAAATTTGAGTTCTGCGTTTAAGAAAAACGTATTTAAGAATTGCTTTCCTTAAAGACACACATATATTTACTAAGAAGATACAAATGAAATTTAGTAAATGAAGTACTTCAAGTTATTTATCTCTATATACAGGGTGATCTTTTTTAAAGTGACAGTGTTTGGAGCACCCTGTAGCACGATCTAATAGCCGAAATAGCACGAAACTTGGTATTTAGACTAATCAAGACATGGGACATCAAGACATACAATCATATAGTTAAATTATTAATGTTTATTTACTACATTAAGTTCCCTGGTGAGGAATTAGACCACAGTCAATGTGAGCCCCGTTCTCAGAAATAACACCGTGCATTCTGTTCACAGCGTTCCCCACAGCCATATGTAACATATCACGAGGAATATTCCGCACTGTCTTTGTTATGCTGTCCTTTAGAATAGACAAATTTGATACTCCACCAACGCAGGGCAGGGGCAGGGCAGGGGAGTTACTACACTTACGTACGAAACTCAATTCCATTCAGCGGAGCTGGCTTCTCGCGCTCACCCGTTGTTTCCACACAGTCTCGAATGAGGTGCTTTGCGTCCTGGCGGGCACTCCGCCTCTCTCGATAATCTACAAGTTTTATTATTATAAAACTATATTAAGAAACAATATTTCGGAGACTTATTTAACTATGATGAAATCCCAGTTTTTGCTGACTCATTTTCTGTCTTTAATTTACATGTGATCCATCCGGCAAACCGTATTTCTATCAATTATAATATTTATGATCCTTTTGTTTAACGGAATACCAAATTTTTACTGATGGATCGGGTTATGAGGTGGGTTCGGCTTTTGTTGTATATTATTTTGATACTGAGATCTATCACTATAAATTGGGACTTGAAAAATATAACTCTGTTTATGAAGCCGAGTTCATCGCCGTCCTCTATACCCTTAAATGGATATTGAAAAGTAATTTTGCAAGAAATTCTAACTTCTATATTTTTACAGATTGCATGTCTGGTTTAAATGCACTTTATAATGCAGAAAATAATAATGGTCTGATTATCGATATTAAAGATCTTTTTCCAAAACTATCCTATATCCTTTTTATTAAGTTTGGTTGGGTTAAAGCCCATATCGGAATATACGGTAATGAGAGAGCGGATGTGCTCGCAAAAGAGGCTGCCATAGGGAGTGTTTCGGGGACGCCCTATGTTCAGGGTTAAAAAAAATAGCAACTAAAGTTATTTATTCGTTTTATTTTAAGCAATGGCAGTTACAGTGGAATTCTTCTAAAAGGAAAAGTCGCTATTTGAAACATTTAGAACTGATTAAGAAAAAAAAACTTATCTTTAATGATTTTGAAGTTAACCAGTTTCTGACCGGACATGGGTGTTTCTCGGAATACTTCGCTAGGTTTAAGATACAGAACGACGATAAATGTAAACTATGTGACCTGTTTGGTGATGCTAAGCATTTCCTCGAAGTCTGTCCCTACTTTGATAGCTTAAGAAACAATAAAAATATTGATTTTGAAAATCCCTTTTTATGCTTTAAAGATTTCGCACAATTATGTAAATCTGTGATGAAATATATTGACGGTTAGCGCCGGGCTGTGGGAATCAGTGTATGATATTTGCATTTTATTGCCATCACTAATTGGTATATTTTAATAATTTGTTGTTACCATTGTTTGCGTTTGTTATTCGCTTTTTTGTTTTTGTCTTTAGTGTCTGCTCTTGTCTAAATGTTTGTATTTGTTCCTTTTCTTCACTTTTATGCTTATAATTATTATTTACACATGATTATTCTCATTTAGATATTTTATGTTTCATTTTTTCATTTGTTGAAAAGGGCATTGGCCTGTCATGACCATAAGACCAACTTGTTTGGTTAGGCGGGTCGGGCAACGTAAACTTGAGATTTCAAATAACCCCAGAGCCAAAAATCGTATGGCGTGAGGTCAGGGGAACGAGGCGGCCATGCAACTGGAAAACTGCGACTTATGACTCTATCATCAGTGAAGTTTGGCACAACAGCTGCTTTACCTTATTACTAATGTGTGGCGGAACACCCTCCTGCATAAAGATTGTCTGTTGGAGACGGTTTCTTTGCTGAAGCTGTGGAATAACAAACGTTTACAGCATTTCGTGGTACCTTTCTGCATTTATGCTGCACGTTTGGGGCCCTGTCGGACTGATGGTCTCAAAAAAGAATCACCCAATCACGAATTCGGCTGTGAAACCACACCACACAGTGACTTTTGGGGAATTTAATGGGATTTCGTGCACGGTGTGGGGCTGCTCAGAAGCCCTAATTCGGCATTTTGTGTGTTTACGGACCCATTGAGATAAAAATGGCACTCATCTCCCCACAGAATGTGCCATGGGAAAGCATCATCAATTTCTACCCTGGCAAGAAATGATAGAGCGAATGTCACTCGCTTATCATAATCAGTTGGTTTCAGTTCGTGCAAGCGGCTGATTTTGTAGGGGTAAAATCCAATAACGCGCCGCAAAACTCTCCATACCGTGGAATAATTCATATCCAATTGTCGAGCTACACCCTAGGTTCTGCTAGTACCAGCAATGGTTCTCTGCAATGCTTCGAAAATTGCAGTCACCACATCAGTTATTACATCTTCTGATACTGGTTTACGTCCTCTTCCAGCGCGAATGGTCAGTGACCCCGTTTCCTCGAACTTCTTAATCATTTTCTTAAGACCATTCAGTGATAAAAGCCCCTTTCGTAATTTTTTTCTGGTTCGAAATTCCCGAAGAGCTTCGGATGCATTACATTGATTCATGTAATACAGAGGTAATGTTCCTGTAACGTGAGAGGCATGTCCACTGGGAGCTCGTTTACTTCAGCTGAATTTATTTGTCGGAGCTGTCTACTACTTGCTTTTATAACCCCTATTACTGGCGCTGTCATCGCACAACATTTGAATTTTTCTCTGATACCGGTGTTTTACGTTAATTCTCGTTATTGTAAGCTACAGCAGCGCCACAAAATTCCATAGCGGCGAATTTTGGAACTAAAATTTTTCTTCACGGAATCCTTTTTCCCATGTCTGGATTAGTCTTAAAACCAAGTTTGGTGGCATTTCGGCTATTAGATCCCGCTACAGAACGCTCCAAACGCTGTCACTTTAAAAAAGATCACCCTGTACTTCGACCAAAAAAATTGTAAATATTCAGATTTTTTACAATACTCCAGAAACTTTTAAATCAAAGCAAGTGTCAAAGAAAGATTATTATTTTAAGAAATAAACAGATAAACTAAACACAGAACGCTGTAGAAAATTACTAAACTTGTTGAAATTATTTCTTTTTCCTTCCGATGGAACCAATTTTTCTTTTATTATTTATCGTCTGTCGCCGACTAGGTCACGTGACTGGCGGCAGAGAAAGAATGTAATAACTTTTTTAGCTTGAGTGCGACGCTTGAATGATCTGTTCTTGGCCGCATAGCGGTAATCAACAATTTTAATAATTGCTCTTGATAAACTAATCTTGGCCCTATGATGGGAAATTTATATTATATGCAAATTTTGTGTTTTGAATAATGTAAATAATGTACATAAGCTCTTCATTAAATATTTCTGTGTTTCAATTGGAAGTTCTTATTTTCAAGTTGAGTCTTTACGTGGAAATGGTATATTGACGCTTGATTATACTAGTATATTCTTGATTAATTTGATGCTCTCCCAACTCGTGAAAAATAGAATCGTGAATTCGTGATCATAAAACGTACAAGTTTTTATACAAAATTAAAAACGTACAGCTACTTTCAGAAAAATACGAGTACGGCATTCATGACCATCTCCAAATGATGCTGGTGATACAAATTTACTGAAATCAGACTAATCGCGTTCTTTATTAACGAACGCTTCCACTGGATGTCAATGAAATTGAAATGCTCAAATTCTGAGTTGAACGTTTTAACGGGTTTTAAATAAGGATTCGAAAGATTCGATTGATAACTATTCGAAATTATGGGCCCACCAGCGGCCGAGCGGTAAAGACGCTGAACACTGGTAGTTCGGTATGAGGCTCGAATCCCGCGAACAGGCTGGCTGCATGGACGTTTTCGTGTTTTTGCCCATGTGTAACGTGTATACGAGCCAGTTTCCCTTACAAAGTCCTCCGCGAAGGCATCCCTCCCTTTAGGCAGGTAGCCCTCGTGTACTTTGCCATAATTAAATAATCCAATCCAATCCAATCGAAATTATGGATGTGTATTCTTTTTAAACTTTCGTGGGATTCAAAGATTCGAATATGCCATCACAAATTAGTTGATACAAACATACTCATATGAAGACAATTATATATTACTTTTTATAGTGTTTTAAGTGATATTGCAGTTTTTAATAAATATTTTCATTTTCCTTTAAATTTATGTTTCTTAAAAGTTTAACATACAGGAGATTAAATAGAGTAAATAGATTTGAAAGTAAATTTTTGTTTCCAGTAAATAAATAATGTAACTTTCGAAAGCATACTCTAAACATAATAATCTGTTTTAAATTTTGATGCTTTGTCTTTCTCTTTCTTTTATTTAGTTTCTATTTGAAACTGAATAGGCAGAAATTTAGAAGGGACTCATTGATTACTAATTTGAAGCACATTTCTAATTTGAAAACACACCCTAAAAAATCATGTCCCCAGCGTGAATTTCGCAATACCTGAATCTGACTGTCAGTTTTGCAATACGTGAATTAGAATAAATCAGTAATCTGAAGAAATCGTTGCAGCACATGAAAAAGGTTAATTCACGCATTTTTACATTCCTGGAAAAAAACAATGCACTCACGCGATAGGCCACGGATGAATCATAAATTTCAAGATCAGCACATGAAAGAAATACAGTTAATAAAAAGTCATGAAATATTTATATGCGTACAGAGTATAACTAATGAGTGCACTATATTTATATTACTTACAATACTTATGAAAATCTCAATGGCCAGGTTTCCATGGACGCAACGGACCAGTAACAATTTCGAAACCCAGGTACCAACCTGCTGTCAAGAATCCTGTAGTAGATTCTGCTCATAGTCTGGGGTACAGATTTGTGGACGTCAACGGACCATCACAATACGGTAACAAAATACTAATGTCATTAATGGATAATAACAGAATGCTCCTTTATTCATATTCTAGAAATTATTTCCGTGACTCCTTTTGCAGGATTTTATGATCATCAAGCTATTATCCGCAGAGGGCAGAGATGCAGTGCAGCTAAGGCTTATCTTGTACCTAGCGAGAATAGGACTAACTTAGATATTGTGACGGAGGCTATGGTAAGAAAGGTAAAAAATGTCTTACGATGTTTTTTAATTTTCTGAGGAAACGTGCAAATGGGGAAAAAGAAAAATCTCAAGCTAGAGATTAGAATTTGATCTTTTAAACGGAAACAATGGACTTGAAATCTAAAGGTTAAAAAAAAATTCCAGATATATTTGGTAATTATCATAATTTAATTTGCAATCAATTTCTTGAAATTCATAATTATATTTCGCTAAATCTATTATACAAAGGACGTTTATAAAAGAAGATGCTTTAGGCATTCTAGTTTGATTCCATCCAATGGCGAACTGTTCCTTCGGTTATTACTATAGCAAAAGCCCTATAATTTGGATTCCAATGTTCGTCGCAAACCTATATTTTGGCATATACGCCCAATATGCGTGCAGCAAGTACGTTACTAGCGTATTATTTGTCAATAATAAAGATAAAATTATCATCATCAATTACACATCATTGCTGAATACATTTCAAAGTGACAGTATTTTCTGCTAATATGAAGCAAATGTTTCCTCGAATTTCATTAGAGATGTATTTCTCATTCAATTAACTCAGTTCTTCGCGGTAAGCCAAAAATAATAAAAACATAAAATACCTTCATTAAAAATTTAAAGATAGAGAAAAACATAAAACTCCAAATACAGTTAGAAACATTTTTTTTTAACTTTTACATTTAAAATTACAGTTTCTACGTAAAAACAAGAAAATCCGCCAGCGTACAAGAAAACAGATTTTCGGTGCACAAAACTGAAAGTTTACTTTTGGTCTCAATCAGCAAAAAGACACTGAAGGCGTAAAAACTGACTTGACTTATTTTGGACGCTGTTCTGAGTCAATATATGGGACAATTTAACAACTAAACGATAATTTCAGAATAGATTAAGCATAATTCAATTCGCAATAATAAATGTGATGTTTCCATTGCACATTCTTCACATCTCTCGCGATGTAATGCATGTGGTTTTGTATGGCTTTCCTTTATTGTTTGCTGTGTGGTCTAATAATGCCGCACCAACCTCTTGGATCAATTTCATGCATATCCATTAAATAGCTCTTGTTTTATTACCTGTTTTGCCTTTGTTACTTATTTTTTTAGCATGGGTGTAATAAAACTGAAGAAATTTCCAAGCCGCTACTCCAATGCTAACAGGCGTACCTTTATGTATAATGCAAATGTTATCCTATTCCTTTGTAAATGCTCTCTGAGAAAGATTAACAAAGCATATACCATTATCCTGTTTGGCAAATTAATTAGGAAGTAAGTAATCAAATAATTATTACTACTTCAAATTGCACTATAGTTGAAACTATGTGATTTATGTTTTATTGTCACTAAAATTGCCACACAATATACTTTAAGGAAACTGCGTCAACAATTCTAAAAATATGTAGGCGATGTGAATTAACCGAAATGTATACATAAATGCTTCAAGACATCTCAAAACCTACTACACAAATTAGTCAAAGGAAAATTCTAGCAATGAAAAAACTAATATAATATAATAATGTATAAATAAGCTACAGCTCTAGAATTATTGCATAATTAAATTACCTCTAGACTAAATCAATTGGATTAATTTTAGGGTATTGCCCAAACCAATCAAAATATCCCAGCAGATACTGTCCACACCAACAATAAATCATTCAAAATGTGCTTAAAATTATAGACCAGAACCAGCCGTAATGACTTAAAAGTTATTGCGCAATCCAAGGAAAATTACATAAATCAATCCAGATGCCGGAGGAGCTTAAATTTTCAACCTGAATATGAAATGAACTATTAATGGGTGAGATAAGGAGTGACATATGCTGTTAAAGACAAGTCACGAGATATGTAGGAACAACTATGCATTTCGTGATTAATATTACTTTTGTAATCGATATGAACATTGATCAGATGTTTCTTAAAGATGCGAAACATAGAATATATTCGAATCACAGTTCTAGAACAGATAAAAGGTATGTTTATAGTACTGTGCAGCGAAAGACTAAATTAACCATAATAAAAACTTTTAGGTTCACCAAAATAAATACTTTAATGCTTCCTTATTTTTCATTTCTTTTTTCTTTTCGTCTGCTTATTCGGAAATGTATTTTGTGCGTGCATTTATTCCTTTCGTCAGATCTCGATCGTGAACAGGAGGGCCGTTAGCGTGCAGTTCGATTTTAAAGGATCCACACGCCAAGTTAAAGCACGGAAAGAAATTATCCTATCAGCTGGGGCCATCAACAGCGCACAGTTATTAATGCTGTCGGGTATTGGACCCATGACCGAACTGGACAGATTGAAGGTCAGTAAGTCATACAGTTTTAGAGCACAATGTATTTACGATTACTGTGATTATTTATTTCCATTTCATTTAAACACTTTATTAATACGATCACAAAAAATTTCCTGCAGTTAACGAGTCTTGTGTGTTCATATGGTAATTTTTACTAAAACAATGAATGCGCTTTGTAAACCATTTACTATAATTGCAAAATTATGTCTGCTAGACACTAGTTTACCATTTACTCTATTTAAAACCGTAATTCAAGGAATTTTTTAAATGCTTGTTCAGTGCATATTAGTGAATGTATTTTGTTTGAACTAACTTGTCTCGGCCTATGAATTTGCTTTGCCACCTATAATAAAACATAAGGATTTTTTCAAACTTTTAAAATTCGCCAAGATGTAAAATGAAAAGAAATTGTGGTTGAAAATTATTTAAAAATGGCCTTAGTCTATATTTTTCTGAAGGCAAAAGGAAGGAAATAATCTCGTGATGGAGGTCTAAGATCGAAATTAATGCAGCAGGCCCCACAGAAGAGATTAAGTTGTCACATAAAGTAAAATCTCAAACGTCGAAAATAACCCATACACCTCATACTTCTCGAAAACTATTTTGAATAACACTTTCATTCGATAATCTGTTGTAACTATTAAGGTAGTGTAGTAAAGTACACTGGTATGCAAAAATTAAGGACGAGACGGTTTTTTCAATATAACTTTGTACAAAAGCTTTCCAAATCAACACATTTAATACCGTAAGATCCCCAATACGTAAGGACATGAGTAATGTACGCAACACTTACTAAAAGAGAAATCAGATGGATAAAAAGAAGCTTTATTGAAAAAGTAGCATGGAGCGCAATGCGACTGAAGGCCGAAACATCCCTGTGATGGTTGTCCAGCAAGAAACATCCGGTCATTAATAGGGGATATGATCTCCCCTGACTGCTAGGCAGGTTTCACAGCGTCTGCCATGCTGAGAATGAGGGTGTCAATGAGTTGTTGAGGCATTGCTGCCCATTCGTCTTGCAGCGCCAATCGAAGCTCCGGAATCGTTACTGGTGGTAAGGTACGAGCTGCCAAGCGTCTGCCTAGAAAATCCCATACATGCTCGATGGGATTGAGATCCGGAGATGGTGCCGGCCAATCCATACGTTCAATATCCTCACTCTCTAAGAGCTGTTCGGCAGCTACTGTGCGATGACATGGTGCATTGTCGTTGATGAAAAGGAACTGCGGACCCATAGCGCCTCTAAAAAGACGCACATATGGAAGAAGAATCTCGTTACAATAACGAGTCCCGTTGACTGAACCTGCGTCAAAAATGAAGGTTTGTACGACTACCAAGCATGATGCCTCCCCAAACGAGAACACCGCCACCTCCATACCTGTCCCTTTCAATGATGTTCGAGGAATGATTGCGGCTTGCCCGCTCTCTCCAGATGAGTATGCGATGAGAATCGCTACTCAGACTGAATCTGCTCTCATTTGTAAAGAGTACTCGTCCCCATTCATTGTATCTCCAATTCCGGTGTTTCCGGCACCACAGAGAACGCCTTCTCCGATGGGCATTCGTTAGAGGACACACCGTACAGGGCGTCGTGCAAACAGACCACCACCGTGCAGTCTTCTGGCCACGGTAAAACGCGATATCGGTCGTCCAGTCGCCTGTGTCGTGTGTCTAGCGATTTCTCGCGCTGTCTGCCGCCTGTTTCATCTGGCCTGTAAGGCAATATACCGGTCATCTGCGGGTGTGGTTCCTCGTGGACACTAGTAAACCCCCGGATAGCTGTTCCTGTAGTTTGAAATTGTCTCCAAAGTCGGAAACGATGCTGTGAGCAATTCCGAACTCTGCAGCCACACTTGTCACACTGCGGCCTTCCTCCAACTTCCCAATGATTCGACCTCGAGTAAAAGCATCCAGATGTCGTCTAACAGATTGATTATTCGCCATTTCTCGCTGAGGCAGCAACTCGGTGTGATTTTAACTGCTATACGGCGTGCAATCTCTTTGCCAGAAATACTGATCTTACACCGACAACATGCTTTATACTACTCAGACACTCCCCCATTACGTCTACCTGCATATCTGCGCATGTGCTACCGTACATCATCTTACTTAATCTCCTGAATGGTCTTACTGTCCGCTCTGCCTCTTCGTTCAGCTGATATGCTAATTTTTCGACTTCGTCCTTAATTTTTGCACACCAGTGTATGTTTAATATAGTAAAAATAGGATAGTAGAAAAATATTAGAACTAAATTATAAATTGTGTTCACACTAACCCATTGAAAAAGATTCAATTGCTTACCCCTATTGTTTACTGTCAAAGAAACTCACTACGTTCAAAATGTTAATATTTTTTTTATTTACAACTACGCGTAAATTAATTTTTTTTTTTAATGTTTAGATTACCGGCAATGTATGAGACGCCGGAATTCTATAGAAAGTGGGCATTTTATAGAATTCCTGGCGTTTTTAGGTAAAGTATGAGATATGAGAATTACTTTATACTTTCCTTAGGCATTCTATGCAATCACAAATAAAATTTAGGCAAAGCGTGTATTCCCCAAAAATGCAAATGTAATTTTGAAGAAATAATAAAAGAGTTCCTTTAAAAAACTTTTATTCAAAATACGTAAAGAAAAATTAAAGTTACACTAAAAAAAATTATGTCTTTCTTATTAAAGAAAACTATGAGAATGTATGGTATTATGGAATGAATGTATTAAATATGTGGATTTCGTATGAATAAATTAAATGCATAAATATTTGAAACGAATCAAAGCTGTATTTCATACTTACCGGTTTGTCATTTGGCATTGTAGAATGCCTAGGAAATGTATGAAAAGTTAATCTTCATACAATTGCTCGCCAGTTTTCAGCATTCTATAAAACACACAGGTATTCTATAAACTGCCGGCTTTCATACATTGCCCAAAACACTTCAAAAAAAAAAAAAAAAAAAAAAAAAAAAAAAAACAAGCTTGCTGAAACAAAATGCTATTAATTTGTCAGATTACACCTCAGATGAAACCTTTTGAATAATTTATTAATGTGATTTTTTTGGTTGGATTGTCATTTACATTTTGAATTAGGTAGTTATTATTGCGAAAAACATAGTTACAGGTTATTTTGCAAGGTGCGGTGTATTTTGCCTGTAAAACATGAGGTGGTTGCAAAGCTTTTAAAACTATCTCATCCCCATTTTTTTTTTTTTTTTTTTTTTTTTTTTTTTTTCCCGAATGGCGGGCACTTGCCTCTAACGCCATTGGCCACTACTAAGGCGTCAGTCTTCCCTGACCGCTAGACAGTCTGGGCGGCTCAGCCCCGATATAGAAAAGTTATATTTCAAGATTCTTATAAAGCTGATTTCTTTGCATTTAAAAATGCCACAACATGAATCTACGTCATTTAAAAAATGTTTATGATTATAAGTATATATCTACGACAAAAGGTTGTGAAAATAAAGGCCAGGTAATGACTCCTGCGGACATGGTGTACAATATGTTTATACAATATATATTTACTGCTGAGTTGACTAATTTTGGACTCATTTTTCAATATTATTTTTCCCAGCCGTTTCGGTTAAACGAGTGCCATTAAAAAGGATTTAAATGTATGTAACATATGCATTACTTGAATTTATTCAGTTATAGTTTTTGACACTTAGATACCGCTTGTGGCCGATCTACCTGTGGGTTTTAACCTCCAAGATCACTGTGCCGGTTTTGTGGCTTACCACTTGAGTGATGATATCGAACCGTACCTGAAACGACTAGTGGACCCGGATAACATACAAACTTACATCAATAACAGAATTGGTAAGAATTAGGATTATAGTATCCTTACTTCCTCTATCTTTTTCATGGCGAGAAATATTTTTAAAAATTTTCACGTTTTAGGTTTTGAGAAAAGTGAGCACAAGAATCATTAAAAAATAGCATTTATTATTATGATACTTTTTTAAACTTTAAATAACCGGGAAATTGAAATATCATTGTAACTCAAGTGCTCAGAATTTTGACATATCATGAAACAATTAAAAATTTTACTTAAAGAAAACTCAAGTACTTCGTTTCAATTTTACGTTAATAATAAAAGAATAAGAATGGTTGAAACAGCTGTTTATTACTTACATAAGCAGAAGACAATTGTTTTCTATAAAATCATTCATGATTTCAAAAAGTGATGACAGTAAATTATTTTGGGAGATCTCTGATCTCTTAGAGTACCTATTTTATCTCATTTCCCAACAGATAGTTCACATAAAATATAACCTGTTTAAAAGTTACAGTTATTCTTGAAAGATATCACATTTAATTTACGCCTTTTGTCGCATTTGTATTAGACAGGACAAGCATACATTTCAAGCCTTTAAAGCAACAGTACATCAGTACTTTTAGACAAATTTATAGAAATTCTCTCATATGAAAGATTTACAGCTTTCACTATGAGAGGGATAGATGTTTCTTGAGCTTAGGTCACCTGCTGCAGCACAACCTGATTATCTGGGGTCACATTCTCGTTATCATCATCTAATAGATTAAATTTATGAGCGGTTGCACAGTTTAGAAATTTTCTCGATTTTTAACTGCTTAATACTTTTAGCTGCAACTTTAAAATGTCAACGTTATCAATACTAGATTTACCAACATGAGTACTTTTACGTTTATTAAATTTACTATTAATTCAAATTTTAACAGTACCTGAATGGCAAGACAAATTGCACTTACCTTTCATGATAAATGAGCAATGCCCTCGCAGGAACTCGAACGAGGGACATCTCGAATACGCGTCGAGTGTGCCGACCACTACACCACGAAGGCATGCTAAGAAGGCGGGAGAAATAACTTATAGTTTAATACGGTCAACTTCACTATCGAAGATGTTCAAGACGATATCACCGTCAACGTGCATCTCGGTCGTGTTGCTCGAAGGCGTAGAATTCTCGGTTTGCGTAGTCATAAAGACAAGTTCCTTTCCTCTCCAAAGCAGAAGACCAAATGATTTGCTTGCTTATGAAAACTGTATATTATCTATTTCTCAGAAAAAGACATTTTATCACATTCATGCGTTTGAGATGGTTATAACAGTTTAATACGGTCAACTTCACTATCGAAGATGTTCAAGACGATATCACCGTCAACGTGCATCTCGGTCATGTTGCTCGAAGGCGTAGAATTCTCGGTTTGCGTAGTCATAAAGACAAGTTCCTTTCCTCTCCAAAGCAGAAGACCAAATGATTTGCTTGCTTATGAAAACTGTATATTATCTATTTCTCAGAAAAAGACATTTTATCACATTCATGCGTTTGAGATGGTTATAACAGTTTAATACGGTTAACTTCACTATCGAAGATGTTCAAGACGATATCACCGTCAACGTGCATCTCGGTCATGTTGCTCGAAGGCGTAGAATTCTCGGTTTGCGTAGTCATAAAGACAAGTTCCTTTCCTCTCCAAAGCAGAAGACCAAATGATTTGCTTGCTTATGAAAACTGTATATTATCTATTTCTCAGAAAAAGACATTTTATCACATTCATGCGTTTGAGATGGTTATAACAGTTTAATACGGTCAACTTCACTATCGAAGATGTTCAAGACGATATCACCGTCAACGTGCATCTCGGTCATGTTTCGAAGGCTCGAAGGAGCGTAGAATTCTCGGTTTGCGTAGTCATAAAGACAAGCAAGTTTCCTTTCCTCTCCAAAGCAGAAAAGACCAAATGATTTGCTTGCTTATGAAAACTGTATATTATCTATTTCTCAGAAAAAGACATTTTATCACATTCATGCGTTTGAGATGGTTATAACAGTTTAATACGGTCAACTTCACTATCGAAGATGTTCAAGACGATATCACCGTCAACGTGCATCTCGGTCATGTTGCTCGAAGGCGTAGAATTCTCGGTTTGCGTAGTCATAAAGACAAGTTCCTTTCCTCTCCAAAGCAGAAGACCAAATGATTTGCTTGCTTATGAAAACTGTATATTATCTATTTCTCAGAAAAAGACACATTTTATCACATTCATGCTTTTGAGATGGTTATAACACGATTATGGCCTACAGATATTTTTAGTGCTTTCGAAGAACAAAATGCATCAGTATTACAGAAGGTAGTTCGTAACATTGTTTAGCGTAGTTATGGCGAGAGAATAACTTACAGAATCAGTACGACCTTCCATGTTAATGACTATAACCGACTGTTTTTCGTATTCAATTTATAAGTATTTCTCCCGCCTTTCTAGGATGCCTTCGTGGTGTGGTGTCTACCTAATGTCTCTGCAAATTAGTTGAAATTTCCGGGAGATTTCAATTAACTATACACGCTATTCAAATTTTAAAATATAGCAAACTTCAGACAGTCTGCAAAAGTCGATTCCAGATATGAAAAATTAACGATGATTCGAGTAGTGGCAAACTGAAAAATGGTAACTGAATCTTTGGGAATGAACTTCTTTCCATGGGGCAGATTGAGAAAATATAAACTTTATTTATGTTTATCAAATAGCGGAAAACCGTCATCTGATAGCACATTTTAAGTGAGTGTATGAATGTTGTCATTTCAGGTCCTTTGGTATCTACATCTGCTATCCATTTATTGGCCTTCCTAAGCAACAACGCCACTGGAGCCCAGAAAGATATACCTGATCATGAGCTGTATTTTGTGGAATTTCCTGCTATTTTTGCTAAGTTGCACCTAGGAATCAAGCCAAAGGTGCAATGTTAACTAAAACTCTTTTAATACTTGCTCTAAATTACAGTTCAGAATCACTAACAATTTCATGAATTTTCTCAGTCATTCTTTTTCACACTCAGTTGTGAAATTATGACAAATTCTGCAACTGTAATTTAGGTTTTTATGCAATTTTGGTTGAGTCCTTTTTTGTTTTTTCCTGTTTCACATTTTTCGAAATAATGTCTTCCCTAAATATCTCGAATCCATTGAGAATAAGCAGATGTATTTGATTTTACTCCACAATTTGTTTTTCTTGTAAGAATTCGTTAACTTTTTACCCTTCTATTGTTTAAGAGCAGTTCAGCTGATAGCACGATGTATTCTAGTATCCAATTTTCAAAGAAGGAAATTAAGGAAAGACAAAATTCCTATGAATACGTCACTGAGCCATGAAGTGCATGTACACTGTTCATAAAAGAGATCAAAATTTCGGGTCAACAAATGTGAACGTTATATCTAAAAAGGGAAAATAAACAAATCTTCCGTAACTAATTACAGTTTGGCACTTGATCACAATTTTGCCTTTATTATTTTTCTCGAAAAACAACATTACGTTCGTGTTCGCTTTGCCCTACCCATAGTTTTAGGCATAAAATAGTTGTCATTGCTCCCATGTTTTGCAAAAATTTTTTTACTCCAGGAGAAGAGAGATATGTAGTCCTCAAAATTGGCGGAATTTTATTCAAAATCTATTCCAGTCATTTTTTTTTTTTTTTTAGTCCAAAAGGGCAATTTGCCCAGAAAAACTCTTAATTTCGTTTTGGGATTTTGCGTCGATTCACTATAAAAGGCGAATCACTTTTTAAATTGTTGCCACTAATTATTGTAGCCTGTATTATATTTAAAGAAATTAAATAATGAAGAATCTGCATAAATGTATGTATGTTTCTCGCACTGTGATAAAACAACGGTACTTAGAGCCATCAAATTTTGAATTTTCCACCAAATATGGGCATCTGAAAGCCCTAATTTGTAATTTGAAATTTGTTTTATTATAAATTTCATATTTTATAACACTTTAAGAAATTTTTGATTAACAAACTCAAAGCTGCAAGCAATGGCAACACTGTATGAAAAAAAAAAAAAAAAAAAAAAAACATTTATTTATCTCGAGCTCGCGAGACAGTGTATTTGAAATTCTAAAGATATGCTCATTTTAAAATTATTTTCCGATATTGCTGCTGAATTGAATTTTATGGCTTAAGTGCGAAGATCGTAATATTTAATAACTAAAGGTAACACACAAAACGTTAAAAAAATGCCCCTTTGGACGTAATGTAAAATCATTTTCTTCCCTCCTAAAAGTTATTTGGAAATTCTTCAGAGTTAACAGATATTTAAAGATCAAATGAATTATGGTTTCAGAGATTTTATGACCAAATTAATCATCACAATTTCGATCTTTTGACCGTAGGATGAATTAAAAATTAACTTTGAAATAAAGTTCTTTCAGAATTCCTAACTTAATTTACATTTTTTTTAATAATTTTAGCTAAAAGAGTGTAATTTAAAAATTTGTCATCCATTTTTATTAAAAATTTGATAAATTATTAATATTGTCAAAGAAGAAACTTAAAGAAACTAAATGTTAGGTTAGAAAAAAGAGGGGTCCTTGACACTTAGCCGAAAACCACTTAGCTGACGGGACACTTAACCGACACCAGTTAGCCGACAGGATATTTAGCCGACACGGACACTTAGCCTACAGGAATTTAACCGACACGGACACTTAGCCGACAGGTCATTTAGCCGACACGGACAGTTAGCCGACAAGACATTTAGCCGACAAGGACACTTAGCCGACAGGACATTTAGCAGACACGGACAGTTAGCCGACTGGACATTTGGCCGACACAGAGAGTTAGCTGTCAGGACATTTAGAGCTACGGGACACTTACCTGTCAAGACATTTAGTCAACAGGTTACTAAGCCGACAGTGACGTTTAACTGACAGGTACCCAAAAATTATTTAAACTATTAATTACAAAATTTCTCGACTACTCCACAAGTTCAATATATAAGTCATTTTTTCACCTATCAGTAAAATTCATTTTTCGATTCTTAAAGATCTCATATGTGCTATTATTTATTGTGTTCATTTAGCATTGTTTGATATGTATCCTGCTGTTTGGTGTACATTGTGTTTGGTGTACATTGGCCAAATTGAAAAAGCGCTGAAATTTCTCGAAAATGATTAAAACAAAAACTTAAAGAATATTTTACTTCTAAATTAAACATTATACACTAGTTTATGGCTATAAACATTCACGTAAGTAAGTATTTTAAGCAAGAGGCGTGGTTTATAAAATGTTACAGAATTTTTATCTCAAGAATGGTGGCATGAACTGCAAATTATAGAGGTCACAAATAATTTATACCTTTGCTTGTCTTAAAAATTCACTTTTTTTAAATTGTTTTAATAACAAAATAAAATATATTTGCTAAACTAACCCTCACCACTATATGTTTCCATAAAAAGTATAATTCAAGGATAACTATAATTTTTATTGCATTGCATTTTGCGCTTTTTTTCAAGCGTAATCTTGTATGAATTTCTTTACTTAGTAAACGGTTAAAAGTAAAAATGCTAAACGCAAAACTTATGAACTTATTTTTGTGTACAAATAAAGTAAAATTAAATAATACTGATAGCATATGATGCTTTGAAACAAATAAGGTAAAATTAAACAAGATCTGAACATTTTCTTTGATTTTATGAGCATTTTCAAGCAATAGTTTTTAAAATTATTATAACATAACAAGACGATCATTTATTTGATTATATGATCATTAATTATTAACATTAAAAGGTGATTATTTATTTTAGCAATTCATAAAATTCGGAGCATAAACGTTTTTGACTGTAATGAGGAAAAAAAAAGATAAACTCTGGAAGCACTCAGCAATATAATTTTATATTACGCCCAAAGGAGCGTTTTTGTAAAGTTTTGCGTGTTACCTTTATTTATTAAACATCATGTTCTTCGCAGGTAAACCACATAAAATTCAATTCAAGAATAATATCACAAAATATTTGAAAATGACATATCTTTAGAATTTCCGCGTTGGAGATAAAAATGTTATTTTCTGTACAGGGTTGTCATTGCTTGCTTTGAACTCGTTGAGTTTGTTAATCAAAACTTCGTTAAAATTACAAAATATGAAATGGATTAAAACAAATTCGAAATTAGGCCTTGCAGGTGCCCATGTTCGAGTGGAGGATTACGTTATTCAAAATTTTATGGTTCTAAATTCTGTTGTTTTTTCACAGTGCGAGAGAAACATACATGCATTCATGCAGATTCTTCATTAATTAATTTCTTTAAATATAATACAGGGCGATAATATTTGGTGGCAACAGTTTGCAAAGTGAAATGGACATTTATAGTGAAACAAAACAAAATGCCGTTTCGAAACTAATAGCTTTTCTGAGCTGCCGCATCTTTGGGCTGATAAAATAAATTAACAATAAATAAGAAAACTTATGCAGAACTAGACATAAATTAAAAAAATAATCACTATAAAATACTAGCACAATCAATTATTACAGTCAAATACAATTTTTAACTTTATAATAAATGCATAAAAATTATTAAAGTGTTAAAAGTGTTAATCACTATAATGTATTATGAAATATTATTGAAATAAAACTTCTTTGTAGAATATTATGCTTTAATATTCAGATATAATTTTAAAAAAGCAGTACAAATAAGAATTTTAAGCAAAACCTTTCAAAAATCCCTTTTTTCAATTTTAGTATTTTTTACTTATTTATACCAATAAAAGCATAAAAATTGTAAGAGAAAATTTTTTGCTTGAATTTTTCTATTAGTTCAGATTTAAAATATTACTTTTAAAAGAAGGAGATACAAATTTCTTTACAGCATAGGAAAAGCTACAAAAATATCCAGACCTGAAAGCATGCAATAGCTTTATAATTACCAATTCAGAAGTCAAACAACAAAACAAACAACAGCTTTATAATTATTTAGAACATCAATTATGCTTGATAAAAGTGCTAAATTTTTAAAAAATCAATCTCAGTTTCAAAAATAAAAATATCTAAAAATTATAATTTGTGAAATGAAGGTGCTATCACCAGCTTTTCCTTGAAAATTATACGCGCTGCATACTCCTCCGGATAGGGCAAGGTGACAGCCGGCAATACGCCAAGGCAAGGGAGAAACCCCATTTGAGTTGGTCTATTTCTTATAAGGTCCATGGATACATATCAAACCATGCTAAATTAACTCAATAATTAAAAGTATATATGAGATCTTTAAGAATCTAAAAATGAATTTTTACTGATAGTGAAAAAATAACTTAAATATTGAACTTATGGAGAAGTCGAGAAATTTTGTGTAATTGATAGTAAGTTGAATAATTATTGGGTCGTACGTGTCCAGCTAAACGTTACTGTCGGCTTTGTGTCCTGTGGATTAAATGTGTTGACAGTTAAATGTCCCGTAGCTAAATGTCTTGATGGCTAACTCTCTGTTTCAGCAAAATGTCCTGTCGGCTAAATGTCCTGTCGGCTAAGTGTCCTTGTCGGCTAAATGTCCTGTCGGCTAAGTGTCCTTATTGGCTAAGTGTCTTATCGGCTAACTGTCCGTGTCGGCTAAATGACCTGTCGGTTAAGTGTCCGTGTCGGCTAAATGGCCTGTCGGCTAAGTGTCCGTGTCGGTTAAGTGTCCGTGTCGGTTAAATGTCCTGTAGGCTAAATGTACTGTCTGCTAAGTGTCCCTGTCGGCTAAATGTTTTGTCGGCTAACTGGTGTCGGTTAAGTGTCCTGTCGGCTAAGTGTCCGCGACCGAAAAAAGAGACCGTGTTATCTTTTATAATTTCATATATTCCTCGTCAACCAATGATAATATTAATATTTCACATTTATTAACAAAACTTTAGAAATTTACAGGCATCGAACAATGCAGCGAATCATAAATTAGAAAAGGCGAAGAGAAAAAAGTATGTGCGCCGTTGGACACACTTAGGGTTGCCGTTATAGCAATATCAGAAGTCAATAAAATTTGCTTTATTTTGTTTTTTACCACCCTTATTGTGGTTTAGGTCTTCAAATTAGAGAGTGAGGAGCAATTATTGGAATGCGCTCAAGAATCTTACTTTATTGTTCAAGCTTTAAATCGTAAATAGATTTAATTTTCAAAGACAGTGAAATACAGATTAATCTTTTATAAATTTTAATAAATATTATATGAAACTAATTTTTGTAAAAGTTCATTAACGAGCCCAATAACTAATACAGTATTACATTTATTAAATTTTGTAAACGTTAATTTTTTAACGTGTATTAAAATTAATATTAATTTAATATAATTTATTTTTTAGAATTTATTAAATTTAATATAAACAGTATTTATTAAACATAATTTATAATAAATAACATGACGATTTTAATCAATTAGCATCGCATTATTGATATATTGTAAAACTTAATTGTATTTTAATGCAATATCATTTTTATTTATTAATTACTATTATTTTACTAACATAGTTTATCTTATATTAGAAAACGTGAAGAGAAAAAAAATGCGTGTGGCGTGGACGCCCGCAGCTAATCAATGTTTATTAATGTTTAACAATGCTTAGCAGTGATTTTATCCGAAACACTGTGTACAATGAAGGTTTTAATTAATTTTCATGAGTTTATTTATTTTGTTAACTCTACTTTCTATTGTTGCGCAAAGTTTGAGTTATGTTGTAAAAGAAAGCAATAAAATAATCCATCCACCTTCGTTTAATCTTAATTTAATATTATTTACTTTAATCTCATTGCTAAGTCTCAAAATGTATATACACAATGGCGTAGCTAGGGTGGGGCAAGGGGAACATCTGTCCCCGGGCGCAGCATCCAAGGGGCGCCAAATTGGTGCTACGAAATTTTTTAACGAAATGTTTTCCAAACTTGGCACACAGAAAGGGGCGCAAATTCTTCAATTGCCTCCGGGCGCTGGAAATTCTAGCTACACCCCTGTATATACAAAGTTGGATTTATTCTCTATTTTTTAATTCTCCCAGTCTTATTCCCATGCTATGCATACCGTAGCGAGTTTCATGCGTTCGCTTATTCGATTCGTTAGAGAACCGGAGGCTTACTAGTTTCAGAAGAATGTGAATTTAAAATATTCTTGAGTGATGCTGTTACAATATTTTTTAATTCAAGGATAATGTCACCAGAATCAATATAGTCATTGATTTAAAAAATTCAGCAATTATTGTGCTGTATTTTAAATTATAAAAATATAGATATTGAATTAAAAATAATAACTAATATAATGATGTAACCGTTCTTCTATAAACACAAACGCTGCCTAGCTCTAAAAGTACTTATTAGCAGAGCACAGGAACACTTACAAAGAAAATATATATTAAACCAGACATGCACCAAAAACGAAACCCCTAACATTTAGAATTAACATTCGAGACAAGGAGATTAAAAACTATCTTCATCGCAGCTGGAACTCGACTGATGTAAGTTGCTCTCGTTGCCACTAGACGGCGTTCGATAAAATCGTTCGGTTACATCCAAATAAATGTGTTACATCCTCCCCCCTTGACTTCGTAGACGTTTCAGCAAGAAGTCAAGAACTGTCATTTGTTTACTTTGTTTAGTAGGTGGAGAAGAAGATGAACGAACTAGAGTTTCATTAATAGTAACTTAAAATTCAGGAACACCTTTTCAAACGGATGCAGGTTCGGTTTTGGTTTGGGCGACCCTTTTCCTTCAAGAAAGCCACTGGAGTTACCCGACCTGAAGTCTGAAACTTGTGTCGTTCTTGATTTGGTTTCAAGGTTGAAACATATTTGCCGAAAATTTTATCTGTTTCGTTGCGATCGGCAACATTAAAAGTCGTTGAGCGTCTTGTATTCACTATCATATAGTGACCGTCTCGCTTAGGCATGAATTCACTAGTTTTCTTTAATGGGCCTTTGCTGACAGGGTGGAAGCTAACCTAGACTTTATCTCCAAGAGTAAATTTCGCAGTTGATTGTCATTTCTTATCAACATATTGCTTCTGTTTATATTGGTATAACTCTTTTTCGTACCTGTTGTACGAGAAAGAGTTTAGTGCAAACTGGAGAAATGGGACACATTGTAAAGTCGAGTCAGATTTGGCTAGCATATTCTATGAGGTTCTATGAGGTTCTTCATTCTTCTCCACCTGCAGCAACACTAATAGAATGGCTGCAGTGCCTAGCATCTGTTCGAATGACAAAAGGCTTCATTCCATCAGCTTGCTTAAGACTCGGTGACCTAATTAATTTTGAATTCAGCTTTTGGATAGCATTTTCTTGTTGCACTTACCACTCACATACTGCTTTCATTTTTGTTAAATCAGTCAGAGGTTTGGCTATTTGAAAGAAATTTGGAATATATCGATGTTACCAGGAGCAGGTTTGTACGAGAGATTGTACTTGCATGACAGTTTTTGACGAGAGCATCCTTGCAATCGCAGCAGTTTTCTGTGGTTTTGATTCCCAAGCTGGATGGGAAAGTGCAGCTATGCGTTGAGTATTACAACCTGAATGCTCAGACTGTAACAGATACTTACTTTTTGCTATGCATAGACGATTTATTGACGGAGATAACAATTTCTAATCAAGAATATCAGTGAATCTATTCAAAATTTTATCATTAAAACATGTAGTTGTTTAAGACACAATAGCACGCCGAACAAAGACTAATTCAGAAGTCAAACAACAAAAATCAGCGTTATATTTTCAAAATTTTCACAGGACTAGTTTCGATGGTTTTACCGAACCACCATCCTCAGCTGCAAAACCGCAAATACTCTGCAGCTGCAAAACCAATGGTTTTGCAGCTGAGGATGGTGGTTCGGTAAAACCATCGAAACTAGTCCTGTAAAAATTTTGAAAATATAACGCTGATTTTTGTTGTTTGACTTCTGAATGTAGTTGTTTTCTAACAAAAGACGTAAGTTAATTTAGCATGCACATTAAATCATTTTAAAATAATAAATTAACCAAAATTTAAAAATAACCATCTTTTTTAAAGAAAGTTGTTGGCTATCGTCAGATGCTTTTTGGAGATGTCAATCTTTTATTCTGTTGTGATGCTGCATGGCCCCAACTTGCCCGCAACAGTAGTAATGACTGCTATGAACTGGAAATTACACAAACTCTTAAGAAGGGTTTAACTCCCTTTTTATTCCACTTTAGAACTTAGAGATGCGTTCACTTGACGCTCACAAACTGCGCCGACCCGGCGGTTAAATAAAAATAGAAAAGTACAACTAAAAATAAATAACAGGATGAATAAATAAAGAGGTCACTACCTACGAGGCTCTATAAACGTGACTAACTTAGCCCGCGTTCTAAGATACAGCTGAGATTTCAGCAAACTTTCTGAATAAGAAGTTGAAAGATTTCAACTAACTGCCGAAGTAGGCACACAGGCCGAAACGCGGCGGTTCTTAAAATTTCTACCTAGCAACCCCTTCACGCTCGTGGAATCAAGAAAAGCACACTTACAAACTCGTTTCCCTTCTATTTAACTCAAAATACTTCTGCTAAAAATTTGAATACTCTGCGCGTTCTACTAAAATTTACATACTCTGGACATACATAAACATAAAGGGACGTACATAAACACAAAAACATTACATAAAGGGGAAAGTAAAGACTTGACAGGAAAGATAGCTTAAAATAAATGTTAGTTAAAATAAATATAAACCCTACACTATGAAAACAAAGCAACGAATTTCATTTAAGTAATGGGAAGAGTTGTAGAGGCATTATGATTTTTGAAGCAGGAAACATGAAAAATTAGCAATCCCCTCGACGGAACTCGAACCTGTGACCTCTCGAATACGCGCCAAGTGTCCCATTACACCACGAAGGCATGCTAAGAAGGCGGGAGAAATACCTTATAGAGTATTTGGTTATAAGCTGTCCAAATTAATGCGGTCATCTTTGTCTGTTACGAGCATTTATGCGTTTATACACTTCCCGTCCATATTTCGGAAATTAATGCAGGAGCAAACATGACAATGTTGTGCTTCTCCCCAACCTCACTTTCGAAGTATTTATAACTTAGCGTTTCTATTTTTGGTGCCACGTTGTGGTCATTACGCTGCCCTACGAGGGCATTAATAATTTTTGTGGCCTTCCATAAAACATATGATCATCAATTCATATTTCAGGCTGAGAATTATTAGGCTAAGAGAAATAGCTGAATTTCAGGTTGAAAACTGTTAGCTCATTAGGCTAAATGAAATTTGAAACAATGTACTTTCTTCCTAATAACTTTTATCTTATTATATAAAAATCTTAATAACATTTTAATTTACATACCTTCCAGAATACCTTTAATTGAAATCACTTATACCTTAATTTTTGTATATATTTTGTGTAATTAATGAATGGTGTATGACATTTCATAACCATTAATAAAGGATATTCTATATACTGTCTTACGTTACGTACGTCAGTACCGAGTAAGCTTTTTCGTAACATCTAACAACAAATTTGCTGTAATTTTTTTTTTTTTCCCTTCGTCCAATTTCGAAACTGCTTACGCATTGTCTGTTTTCCAGGATTTTCAAGCGTACTTCGGGCCATACCAAAGCAAACCACTTCATCTTTGCTTGTCCCAGATTCTTCATCCTAAGAGTCGAGGAACCGTCCGCCTTCTTTCAACAAACCCTTATGATCCTCCTGAAATTGATCCTAATTACTATTCTAATCCACAAGATCTGCAGGATGTCGTCGAGGGTAATGACTTTCTTTTTTATTTCCGTTCCAAAGCCGATAAGAATGTAATTCAATTTCTGATCAGGGCATAGATATCTGTTGCTATTCGGAATCAAATTTAAGACGCTGATCTCATCTAGTTACCTTATATATGCAAAATATATGCTTATTAAATTAAACTTAGGCTAAATGAAATTAAATCTTGTAGAAGTATTGAACGAGAAAAAGAATCTCTACATATCGGATATGAATGTGTGGTGAGAATTAAAAGAAAAAAAAGAGTGTGCCATCGGTATCACTCTCATTGTTACTCTTCTGATTGCTAAGTAGGTGATTAAATCGAGTATTATCGAGTACAGGTCATTGTTGCATGGTCCGAGTATAGGCTACTTAACAAAATAGACTCTAAATTTCTGTTCAGCCAACATGACCCCTAGTGTTTCTCTCTACACAGGACCCGTAGTGTAACCATACAATTTATTTGAATTGTTACTTTTTTCTTTTTCCTTAAATACGCTACTTATTGTCTGTCTTGCATAAGCGTAGCTCCTGCACAAAATCAGATGCATCTGCAGTGACTTCTAACTTGCCTTCCGGATCAAGCAGTTTTAAGACCGGGGCTTTTTAAAAATTAAATTGTCTTCCCTCGACCAAGTGAATCTAATCTTTTTTAATTTAGCAAGGGATCTGTTATATAAGCGAATCTCTGCTATAATAGAAGCCCAAACCCAAAAATTATGCTAACTTCTTTGCAGTCTTCGGTAGGGGATAATTTTTAATTGCTATTTTCTATGATCAATGTGCTCAACAGTTGTGTTACTAGAGACTTTTATGTCTTTCTAGTATGTCAATGTTGATTTCTAGTACGGGCTATAAAATTATGTCCGTGACCCTTAAAATGTAGCGGTTACCAGTATAGGCCAAATGCTTTCCCTAGAGGAAATGCGTATATTTCCTATTTAGTAATAAATGCCGTTTTTGCATGTCCTCTAGTTTCACAGATATTTGGAAATATCCAGACGTGAGATCTTGTATGGTCATATACTATTATGTGGACTCTATTTTTCTAATTATTTCTTCAACTTTTAGTGAAAGGTAAACATGATATTTTATTAAGCTATTCAATAATCCTGCTATCGATAGCGTGTCTCCATGCCCTAAAATTGGTGGGAGATAAATTATTCTTCTTTCTACATGAAATTCAAGACTAACGTAGGGACTACTCGGAGATTATCTTTTTTAATATGGAAGCACTTCCGCAGAGAACCCGGTAAATGTAAACATCGTCAACTTTGGCGATAAAAGTTCAAACCTGGTAACCCAGCGCATTTATCCTATTCGCTTGTTCGAAGTTTGCAACCATTCCTCTTGGGTTCATTTTGTTGAATTATCACTGTCGTTGTTCGCATTTGCAGATTTATATTATTCTTCTCTTATTTATTATTATTTTTTCTGATTTTCCACATTATTTTTCTGAATTTTTTAACGAATAGATAGAAATATTTTCGTATAGATAGATGCCGGTTCTCGGTTCGGGATGAAAGGAAGGAAAATTAATGCGAGAGGGGTGAATGCTAATTTGTAACACAGGCTGTTCACGTTGTGTTCTTAATTATTAACAAGCTCTAAGCGCGCTGAACCATTATTATTTTACCAGGTTTCAACCCGTAAAATAATTTGTTTTCGTAGGCCGCAAAAATGTGCAATGCATTTTAAATAAGTAATGCTTTTATTTTTATTATTGGTTATTGTCATCTAAAATTATGAGAAATAAATCAATTTCTGGCGTAAAATTTTAACAAGATAATATATTGTTAATGCTTTTCTAACAATAACCTTTCAAAGGATGGCAAGTGTGACATAAATAGATGATTAAGTTGAAATAAAAAAGATTATTGATTATCTAAGATGACAGAATAGTTTGATGCATCAACATGGTCATCAAAAGTAGCAAACCACTGCTGGTGTAAGGAATATATTGTTTTCTGTGTTAACTGGAATTTAAGACAAATTTTTTTTTCATTATCACGTTTAACAGGTTAATTTCAGTACATTAATACTAATTTATATTTTTCAAATGAATTTTTATTTCCGTTATAAATGCTTATATATTGTCTTATACTTAATATATTCTTTTCTGTGCTAACTTGAATTTAATACAATTTTCGTATATCACGCTTAACAAGTTAGTTTTACATCTACATGCTTATTATCTGTGAATTTTTACTACCATATGCTTAATATATTGTTTTGTCTGCTAACTTGAATTTATATGCACTAAAAATCACGTTTACAAAATATCACGTTTGCGGCTCGGCTCATCGCCGATGAACCGCGAGCTTGGCGAGTAAAAATGCAACGGCGCCAACGGGTTCTTTTCCGAAGCGCCAACGGGTTCTCTGCGGATGAAAACCCTTTAATATTTCTGAAATATGTTTTTAAATCATACATTCTTTGACTTTATCGCAGTGTTAGAGTTTTGCTTTATTTGGGGGGGGGAGTTGTCTCCCGTACCAGTCTCATGACTTTCAACTTGAGTTAACTCTGAATTCTCATCAAATAATTCTGAAAAATTTCTTAGCAATTGTTCCAACTATTTCTTCTTATTCGGAGACAGATCATTAAAGTCCAAAGCTGTCGGTGCTGCTTCTTTTTCCTTTACCATTCTCATCTCCATCTGCACAGACACCAACTGCTTTTAAAAAATCTAATTCCAAAATCACCCTTGTCCATAAATTTCTAACCATAAAAAATATTACCATAAGTTACTCGCTCTTTATTTGCCCATTCAACGGAACTCGTATTCAACGGAACTCGTATCCTACGTATTCACAGTATTTGTATTGCGCTGTTATCACTTTTGTTCCTGTAACCTAAAACAAGCTAGACCTAATTTTAAAAAAAATCTTACCAGTCAAAAAGCTACTTTGCGCCTCTATTACTATCCCAGCCTTTGAAAAAATTCGTTCAACATGATTTTCATATTCAACAAGGTTATATTTTTAACCAAAATCGTTTATTCAATTAAATTTTCAGAAGCATTTTCTTTATTCTGGAATGACTGACCTCTCTGGCCCACAGCATTCCTTCCTAATGTAAATTTTTCTCACTGCCTTTCTTCACATCATATTCTTTCTGTTTTTATGGGATCGCCATTACTCGACGAAAAATCTGCCAGACACCAAATTGTTTTTGCCCATGAAACTTATAACCTCTTTCGACTAGAGACTTTCTAAAGATCCCGCTAAATATTTCCTCTGACCATCGCATATGCATATTTTCTAAAACACGTTGATTTTCAACAGCTAGTTCGAACAATTTTTCTAAGGTACCTGGGCTGCTCGATTCCAAGAAATCCTATATGTGGTGCTACAACCTATGTAATATTATTTCTGGGATTTCGGCATTGAGTTTTCTGCCATATAATAGTTTTACGATCTGAACGTCGAAATTTATAACTGAAACTTTCCGATTCACTCAGCAGCTTTTTACCCTTGTCCTTGTACCAGCTGAAAGTTTGACCTGTCAGCGTGAAGGTCGCTTTATCGGTTCTGAGTGCATTCGCTCTGTTATGAAACCATAGGCACGCAACAATATAATTGCTTCAACATTGTAATCATGCGACCGCTGCGATTTAAAAAGTTCATAGATTTTCATTCACAAACGGATAATGTTCAAGTCATATGTAATATAAATTTCACAACTATCAAACTTTAGACTCTAAAAGTTATCTAATATGAATGCATCTTTTTGAAAATGGATTATTCCTACAGTTTTTACTCAATCACTTGAACTTAATTAAGCTTAATTAAGCTTGGAATTGTATTTACTACCATTGCATGGCAACGAAATGTTTTGTACGCAATAAGCACGCCAATGTTGGCAACCTGTATATTCCGTAGTCGAGGAGCATCTGAAGCTTATAAAAGAGGAAAATAGAGAACTCGTGATGTTCAAACACTATAACGCAGGGGTTCGCAACCAGGTAGGAATTTTATAATTCCAGGGGAGAATCCGATCAAATTTTCATTTAAATTTTAGTTTATGGGAAAAAAACTACTTTTATTCAAGTTTTGGTATTTATCAACATTTTTTATTCTATATTTTTGTTGTTTAATTTACAAAACCTATTTGAAAATAATCTAAATTTAGATAAATGTATATACATTTTCCAAGTTTTGAAAAGGAAGCGGAGGGGAAGATCGTCTAGCAATGGTTAAAGCTGTGCATGGGGCAAAACATTTTGAGAACCAACTGTTGTAACGGTTTGAATTGAATTTGATCAACGACACGTTAAAAATTTCATGCGGAGTAATCGGTGTTTAAAAATGACATTTATTAGTGAAAATTAAAATTCAGTGAACTCATGAATTTGGCTGGTGATTGTTACTTTCAGGGCTGGCGCTACAGAACGCCAAAAGTTAGAGAAAAAAATATTTTTTTTTAATTTAGAGAAGAGTCGCAATAAAACGGCGAAGTATTTAGGCGCGGCAAAATGACTAGCGCCGGTCCTGGTGTTAAACATTTTGACGCGTAGCAATCGTGTTTTTTGTGTTCTCGGGATATTTTAGATATTAAACCACGGTGTGGGAAAGATTTACGGGAACAAATATGCCAGATGCACCGCGTTCATGAAACGTTACTCCCAAAATTAGTCCTGTTAGGCTTAAAGTGCGAAATATAAACAAAAAAATGAAAATAATAAAAATCGGTCGAAAAAGGGAAAAACTGTTAAAAAAAGTTGGTAAAAATGCAATAAAACATTTTTGACCCCTATCAAAAAAAAAAAAAAAAAAAAAAAAAAAAAAAAAGAAGGCACAGCAGAAATACGAAAAATAACCTAACAAAAATATACAGAAGCGGCTGAAACTGATTAAATGGATTACCATGAGAGACAAAACAAAAATCGCCGATTTTGGCAGGCGGTACGTTTGGCACATCTGTAGTGATTTAGGATGTGAAAACATGTGTATGATTGTATACTACTTTTTTTCTTACGATTTTGGAAATGCAAGAATAATTAGATTGGAGTTTGAAAGCGGATTTGATTTTATTTCAACTATGAGTGTCTGTAATGTGGGAACAGTATGCGTTTGTATGAATGAAAGGAAAAAATTGACGGATTTAAATGACGTTATAGAAAATAATTCTCTGAAGATCACAATACTAAAAAAAAAAGTAATTGAAATTAATACTTTCTTTTTCCTCAGGGTTAAAAACCTGCATTAAGATACTGTCAAGTCTCCATATGCAGAGAGTGGGATCACAAATGTTTAACACCTCATTCCCAGGATGCGAGCGTTTCTTTGGAGATTTAGATCTCTTCTTAAAATGCATGGCTAGAGCTGTAGTCATGACGTTAAGCCATCCAGTTGGAACAGCCAAGATGGGAGACCCGAATGATCCAACAACTGTGGTCGACCCCCAGCTCAAGTGAGAACGTTTGAAATGCAACTCACTTCGTCCCCTTCATTTTTTTTTTCATCTAGCTATTATAGAATTGATATATGTTAAGTTATATTTATATAAAGGCTGGAAGCTTGCTTTCATAAATGTAAACTAATAAGCAAAGTTCAAGAAAACGATGAACATTTTCCAGAGTATCGAAACGATATTTAATAGAAACATAATGAATCAACGCACAAAAGTTTCATCATTAATTAATTTTTAATATGTTCTTTGGAGTTATAGATACTTAGTCTAAGATCTGCTATTTTATTAATTAACAGTTGCTCATTTTGCACCAGACAAGTTCGCTACTTGTAACACACTTATGAAAAATAATATCAAAAGTGACTTTTTTCGCTTTAAAGTACGAACTACAGCTCATAATTGATTTTTTAAATTTTATAATTAATTTTTTATTTTATTTTAAAAGTAGCAGGTACAGTTCTTTACTTACAATCATAAGTCCAATGGCAGTCAACAATATACTTGCATCCAAAAGTTAGAAAATACCCCCTCCGAATTTCCTATAAAATAAATACAAGACTGAATTTAATGAAACTCGGCATCGACACAGTGAAATAAAACATATCCAGTTTATACTATACAGCAGTTAAGGTGCTCTCGTGTGTTTAAATGAATTGGAATGCATATAGCACAATTCACAAAAAAATGCAGTACACATTTTCACTCACATACAGGTGCACTCTCACTTTATCTTCCTTATTATTAGACGTGAAGCATGACTGAAGTTACTTAGAGAAGTAGAACTCCGGATTTCTAACAGCGAAGGCTTATTATTAAAGATGCAGTATTTCGAACAACAGATGTATTTGAGACATTGCCTAATTATAAATCACCTAGCAATCACCTAGTTAAATCTTATTCATAAATATATTATTATATTTAACAAATTTATCACTTTTCCTCCTATTTTATGTATGTCTAATATTTTATGAAGCACTACAAAATTTAAAAGCACTCAATCTTTTGAATCAAAATAAAAAAAAATTAACGATAATAAAAAGGGACACTTTTAGAGCCCAACAACTTCAAGGGCATTTTGACAATAGTTGTTCACAGATAAAGAGACACCATGTTCACTTTCCCCATATCATTATGACAGTATTCAAGCAAAATGAATTCTTAAATGCGAAAGTAGGCATCTGTGAAGGTCTGAAACAACTAGAAGAAACGAAGCCTAAGGAAGGTTCGATTGCATAATTTAATTCAGAAATTAATTAAGTATAAAAGTGTTAGCTGCTCGATTCCACTATTGAGTGAGTTCAAAGGGATATGGAATTAAAAGATACTGCACACCTCTGCCCCTACCACTAAACTCTCAAGATTATTTCATCCCAATATATTTTGAATGTCCATATGATGGAAAACATTTCAATGATAAGCATCCGTCCTTTTTCTGACACTTAAATAAAGCAATGTGAAAAGCAATCAACCTGCATTAACCGCCACATAGTCCTGGAGAGAGAGGTAAGCTCGTCCTAGTGTTGTTGAACAAACATTAAGATGCAATGGCGAAAACTTTTAATTGATTAGTAATCACAGTAATTACAAACTAGAATGCCTCTAGTTACCACTTTTATTAACCACTTTTATTGTAGATTATTAATTCTTAATTTTCAGTACTTCAAGCTAAATTTCTACACATTTCATGATCACAATACAATGACATGAAATACAGATTTTATTACAGATTTTATACAAATTTTATTATTTTTCTTTACAGATTTTATTGATCCATTTACTTTGTAAAATTTCTGATTCAGAATTCTAGACAAAATTACATGAAATTTATTTTACCAGTGGTACTCAAAAGATAACAGTCCACAACCAGAATAAACTTAAAAGTAAACTGAAGTCTTTCATCTATTATTATTTACATAATAAAAAATCTCTTAAATCCACAACAATGACGTAATACCAAAGCTTACACATTTCTTGATGAACTCAAAATCAGAAGAAGATGGAGTACTTCTGCTAGCAGAGTAATCGACCGGGTGACTCTTTGGCACATGATTGTAATAGGCAAGATCAAACCACCGTCACCCGCTTCGTCAGTGGGAATCTTAGATCTTTGACATTTTTTAGTGCTCCAAATGTCCTCAAAAATGTCATTTTTTTTAGGATTCAGAAGAACACTTGGTGCAGACTTCAAAACAACTTTTGAAGACAGAGCTGCTACAGGCCACTTACAATAAAAATATTAATATTACATTTGCAGCTTCTATATGTACCTCGGGATTCGAAGGGAAAAATAGAGTCATTAAGTACAATCAATATTTATTACTGAACGAGAAAATAACTTGAAAACTGAATTTGCAAAAACTCTCTGTATACCAGTGGTTTTCAATGAAAAAATAAGTTAATTAGTAAAATAAGTTAAATAGTTTCAGGGAAGGAAGAAAAGTTAAAAAGCAGTTTCAGGGAAGATTTTTTTGAGATCAGATTGCCAAACTAAGATAAAAAGCTAACAACAAATACTGACTGCTACTTATTTGAAATTATGTGAACCTGAAAGGCTGAAAGCAAATCAAAAGATATGTTTCTTTTATTTATTAAATATAACAAAAATTTCTGCATTAATAAATATATATGTTATGTACATTTATTAAATATAACGTATTTTGAATTTGTGTGTACTTTTATAGTAAAATACATTAAATATTTTCAATTTCACATATATTTAGAATTTAATCGTGAATCAAATCATTCTAATCCATAATAATAAGGAAATGGGGAGAATGGTTAAAAACCACTGGCACATACAGTAATAAATGTCACCAAAATTACTATTTTTCCTCCTAAATTGGCTTGTTTATAATGCATTTATCTCTCTTTTGACACTTTTTCAGAGTGAAAATGATTGAAGGATTAAGAGTAGTGGATGCATCAGTCATGCCATCCATCGTCTGGGGAAATACAAACATACCTACAATCATGATAGCAGAAAAAGCTTCAGATATGATCAAAAGCACCATCTCTTGCATCACACAACCTTGATGAAAGAAATCCTACTACATTTCGTCATTAATAAATGCTTACAACATATGAGAATCTATGATTAAATTCTGTTGATTGAGAAACATCCAGTTTTTGTTATAAAACTCTTTCCAGATTGTTATATGAGTACTAAATCGTTCTTTCCACTATAAATTTGTACTTCTTATATGCATATATATGCATGTATTTACACAAGAAGGAATCTTGATATGTCAGTATCATATCTAATCTTGACTAAAATCCATAAAACATTTAAATCCTTAAAATTATTTTAAAAACTCATCATACATACAGGGGGTTGCCGAATTCGACAAATTCAGAGAGGTGATACTAGACATCAAGAGGATGAAAACCTGTTATAGAACATGGGGCCACAAATCACGTTTAGTGGGAGAAAATCGCGGAAATACTTATGAAAAGTGTGACGTCGGGTGGAACTAAAAGGGCCAATAATAAGTAGTATTAAAGCATTTATTTGATGAAAAGGAGGATTATAGTGTGCATCACAGTTCAACCTCAGAAAAGAGACGACGAGACATTTTTAGAAGATTTGTTCGAATTTGCGGCCGCGAAGCTCATTCCACAGCCGACACCGAGAGACGAAGGATTGCCAGACGCGTTCAGACATATCCGGTGTGCTAGGGATGTCTGCTGAAGCGAAGATGATTCGTGCTATCAGATCCTCCAGTGCATCCACAGACGCCTGATTAACAACCGATTTCAGGTGGTCCAGAAGAAGAAATCCAAGGATGACGTCCGGAAAGTGTGGAGATCAAGCAACAGGTCCGTCATGTCCGATCCACCTTCCGGAAAATATGTATCATCAAGGTGGTTACGCATCGAAATCGAAAAATGTGTTGGCATACCATCATGCACGAACCACATGTTCTGGCACACAACAGCCAGTATCCCCTGTATCAAATCCAAGAAGAGGTGGTTTAGGAAAACAAGGTAATTTACACCGCTGAGACTTTCAGGAAAAAGGTATATATAATTGATCTCAAAGAATCCCTGCCCAGATGTTAATTCCGAACTTGTGTTCCCCTTTCAATGAGACAGTGCTGTGGGCATTTTCGGACGGCCACATAAACGCATTTTGCGCGTTGACTACGCCTTCTCTTGTTAAAGAAGTCTTCATCTGAGAGTAAAATATAGCCGAGAAACTGTAAATCATTTTAAGTTGCATAAAGCACCCAAAGGACGAACTCTATCGAAAGGGCTAATCGGCATCGCCTAGGAGTTGGATCTTCTGCATGTGAAAGAAATGCACATTTCTGCTCGTAGAACCTTTCACACCATTTTGTACAGAGTATGCAGTTCAGCTACAACCAACCGATCTGTTTCAGGGATGCGCACACTACGTTCTTGTCCTGCATTACGCCTCGTTGTATGGAAGGATCCCAGCTCCCTCTGTCGCTGATCGATGTTTGTAATGGTGCGGATAACGTCTCGTCGGATATTGCTCTTGCTACATTCTCTACGCTCGGCGTCCGCGGCCACTTGCTCGGCCGTAAATCACATGCATATACTGCTAGTTCTTTTACGCATGGGAAATTTATATACGAGAACTTTTTTTTTTTCTTCTCGACCTAATTCTCTTGATGCCTACCTACTATTACCCCTCTGAATTTTTCGGATTCGGCAACACCCTGTTTAACTAATATTAGTCTTTTCACATACTGTATCTTGATTAATTTGTCATAAATATTTAATGAATAAATAGTAGCAAAATGGATAAAGGCCAATTTAAACAAACTGTTGAAGGGGAAAATGCTGGAAAATATTTAAAACTTATAATTCTGTGGTTTTACACTGAATTTACTTGTATATTTCTGTTTAGCATTTTTAACACATAATTAAGTAACAGAAACATTGAGAAAAACAAACATGAAGCGATTAAAATGTCTAGAAGTATTCCATAAAATCGGCTTCAATCTCAAAGGTTGAATTCTGCATTAATTTAAATTTCCTACACTGAAAAGCTTCCTATATGTATAAATAATGGTTTTTCTAAATTTTAAGATAAATGATTTATTCGTCACCGGTGGTTTAAAATGAATTTTTTTTTTAAATTAAGTAAAAAATCAATATTATACTAAAACCGCTTTTGCTAGTCTGACGTTAGCCGAAAAGGCTTTTACACATACTACCTTGTCTTGTAAATTGTAGCAAAGGCTTGTTGTTATAAGAAAGAAAATGCACGTAGTACTGCCTGCAAGACTAAAATCTCGATTGTAATAATTGAAAAATGAATGCAGAGTCCTTGTGAAAAATAAAATTAAAAAAAAAAAGAGTCGCGGAAGGTAAAAATTTAGTGAATTCGTACACTCATCAAAGATGAGAAAAAGCAAGACCCCCAACATATAATGTACATAAGATCCGCTGAAAGGTGTTCCCAACGCGTTACCTCAAAGTTAAACCATCACCAGTAGTAAACTGGCCTTCAAACTGAATAAGTATCTGCGCTGTTTTGAAGCTAGCGATAAACTTTTCGATAAGTATGTTTTTTTTTAAATGCCAATTAAATTACAATAACTTTCTTTGAACCGAAAATCCTCGGCTCTGGAAGCCAAGCTTTATCCATTAGGCAACAGGAGGCCTTAAAAGCAACCTTAAATTGGGGTAGATTTTAAGAATTTAAAATGAAGGATTTCGAAATATGTCAATATTTTGTCCCAACAATCTATTGCTTTAGATTATTACGTAAAAATTATCAACCACATTTATTTATGCTAATGTTGGGCATAATTATCAACAACATTTATTTATGGTTGATAATTATGCCCAACATTAATAAATTTCAGCCTTTTCTTTTAAATAACTTATTTAATTACTGTATTAATTTATACATTCTTAATTATCATCTGCATTTTTTTAAGATTATTTCATGTAATATCATATTTTCTGCAAGAAGAATTTTTGAAAGCAAATTCATTTAAAAAAAACTGGTATAAACTGATCATTTGAAACGAGATACCTGTAAATGACCCGTAAGGAAGTCAATTCGCATGATCTCCGGCCATCAGGAAAAGACCGCCTCTGAACTCACTTCTGATTAGTTACTGCTTTACGCGCGACTGAGTGGTGTGAATTGGCTTTAACTGACATCTGCGAATCATGACTTTGATCATTATATCACCAAAACCTTTTCATTCTGACAAAGAAAAATCATAATGTTTTGAAATTTTCATGAATTATTGAAGTGGACTTTTGCCCTCTTAAAGCAAGAGTTAAAAATCATTAAGCAGATTAACTGCATTTTATAATATTATATCATGCTCCTTTTTTATGTATTGCATTTTCCTCCAGTACTTAACTACATGACTTTACTTGGATGCCACATAATGTCGCTACTTCAATAATAGTACATTGTACATCGAAAATTTTGCTTAATGTTGAATTTCCTTTCTCCAACCTCTATAGAATTTCCCCACACTCTATATGTCTTCTAGATATAATTTTCTTCTTTTTTTATGCAAAACTGCTTCTACGTAGCACACAAAACAAATCGTATTCAGGATTTATACACATTTCTATTCATGGAAATTACGGACTTTTAAGACCATCAATGAAAAACATTTCACATTTTATCAGCAAATACAGAAGAGAATAAATCAAAGTAAGTATCTATGCAATCGGCTTCAGTCTAGTAACACCATTTTAATAATAAAATAACAGTGTGCAAGGTACATTATTATTAAAAACAAGGCAATATAATATTAAGCAACAAATTTCAGACAAAAACAAATTTCAGAATAAAACCAACTCCTTAAGCTGTCAAGTCATTAAAATTAAATTGGAAATATAATTTCTTGAAATATTCCTATTTTATACCTGTAATAGTCACACTTTTTTTTAAATTTACATGGTCACTATTAAATTTATATTTTTTAATTTATTATATTTTATATTTTTAAAAATATTCACTAAAAAAGCACTATCAAAACTGCAATCTAAGGAAATTTTGCAACTTTAAAGTAACTTACATAATTTATTATATCGGTTTTAAAAGGGTTTATACACAAAGATACAAAATATTGACAACACTGCAAACTATTTATCTTTTTAATTTTAAAATTTTCAGGATACTTTAGCATATATATATATATATATTTCCTTTGCCTACTTTTCTAAGTTTACTTCCTTTAAAAAACAAACCTATACTCCTTACTAGTCTCAGTGGTGTCATCTGATTTGTTTTTATCTTCAACACTATCCATTTGAAGAAGTATTTTTTTGTTTTTGTTTTATGTAATAATTTTTTTTTCTTTTATCTTTGAATTTTCACATTTTATTACTGTAAAAAAACTGCATGTATTTAGACTTCACAAAAGAAATTATCTTCGGTAATTTCAGTATTGAGAATAACTCCAAGTAATTTTATAAATGATAATGTACATGCAGAGATATACGATGAATCTTTTAAACTGTCAATTTTCAATAACACAGAAATTCATTTCTACAGATGCCTGTCCATGTGGCATGTTTAGAATCATTTTTGCAATTTTCCATTTTTTTTAATAGTGAAAAATAAAAAAATGAAAGATAAATTTGTCAAGAGAAAGACATATAGGATCAAAAGTAGTACAGGTGCAACCTTATTTATTATGGCCTCTGTTGTTTAAATGTTGCCCAAAGCCCTCTTGTTAACACATTGTACGCCGGTGGCATCTGAGACAACTAAAGTCTGAGCGCCGGCACCGTGTCTACCACCTAAAGCGTGGGCGCCGGCATGATTCGCTTCTTGACGACCAATGAATAGGTGAAAAAAATATTTAAAATTTTATACATTATCGTAAAACACTAAATTTGGTTTGCATATTCGTTATATGCAATTTAACAATAACGAAAAATAGAAGTAAAATAAAAAAAAATTAATTCATAATTATAAAAAATACACCTGCTTTATTTGATGATTGATTATTACATATATATATTTATAATATAAACAGAAAAAAATATTAATATTTAAGAGATGTATGGTATTTTTAAAAACATTTTCGAAGATGTAAAGGTACTAGGCTAGAGAACACATAAAGCTACTCTCGCTTCTTTTTTTTGCTAGCAGAGCAAACTTTGCATGGACGTCGTACATATCGCCTTTTGTTCCCTTTCTCTCCCTCCCCCCT